TCTCCCAAGTCCTAGCCTGACATACTCTAACCTGAACACCACCTTGGCAGAACCCCTTTGAGTGCCTCCGTTTTAAAACACGTGCGATCAGATCTACGGTGACAAGAGATATCATCTTCCAGCATTCTGACATTTTTAAAAGAAAGGGGGCTGATATAAGCAGTGTAGCATAAGGACAGAGCAAGGGTTTGAATCCAGATCTACCTAGTGAAAGTTGAATGCCAGTACAGCACACTGATTTCCAAAATGAAATATACCTGCATTCATCAGGAATTTACCTGTATGGCAAGTGCGAATTTTCTGTCGTGGAACCATCTCTTCTTTTGATTAACATGGGGGGGGGGGGTAGATGTATTTCTGGTCGGAATTGTTTTATTTTCCTTGGAGTATTTTCTCTCGCTTTACTCTTTACTCTCACTTATTGTGTATTTTGTGTTTTTATTTTGTATTTTCATACCCTGAGATCTTTGGATGAAGGGCAGTATTATAATAATAATAATAATAATAATAATAATAATAATAGCAGCAGCAGCAGCATAAGGGCAACAGTGAAGGACCACCAGGAATGCCTAAGGGCTGAGTGACCCTTAGGCAGTGACCCTTTGCTGTATCAAGGGTTTGATGAGGCCCTAAGCTACTGAAGGTAATGGGGCACTTTCTATGTCCAGCTGTCCTTTGTCAACAACAAATTGTCACTGCTTTTTTGTGTTGAATATATGCTATATGGTAATTTATGGGCCTAATAGGTATCTAAAGCAATTTGCCCATGTTGCCCTGCAACCAGTCCATGCAGAATGTAGGCACCCTATATATAGAATTGAGCAAACCAGTGATATTTGAGGGATCAGGCTAGCAGGCAGGGCCCATGACTTACATCATAGGAGCCAACACAACACAAAACACGGTTGCTGTATGTATGTTTTATTTTATTTGTTTTTTATCTTATATTTTGGAAATGTACATCCAGTTTTTTCCCCTTAAAATTTTTTTGGGGCCCCCAAGAGAGTGGGGCCCTAAGCTATAGGTTGTTTAGCTTATACGTAAATCCGGCACTGGTCAATAGGGGCATTATATTATTCTACCCTTGTTCTTACCTGGGAAGTTCTGGAAGCAGGATGAACACTAGACACCACCCCCAAAAAAGATGGCAAAAAGACAACAGGAAGTGGCATAAAATTTGCATGTGGTAATTTATGAGCATAGATCATGGAATCATAGAACTGTAAAGTTGGAAGGGAACCTGTGGATCATCGAGTCCAAATCCCTGCAATGCAGCTGCCCCATATGGGGATCAAACCTGGGACCTTGGTGTAATCAACACCATGCTCTAAGCAACTGAGCTATCCATTTAGATGTCCCTTTAGAAATAGTTGCACCTCACCACAGTGGGCAAGCCCAGCATCTGCTGAGTCTGTTATCCAGGACCTTTCTGTGGGAGCAGCGGAATCTATTTATTTGTTGCCATTCCTGTTTCTTTGCAAAATATTTGCACAAGCTGCCCAGAGATTCTGAGACAGGCCAGTCTCAGAGCACTACAACTCCCATTGTCTTCAGCCACTGGCAATGCTGGCAGAGGCTGATAGGAGTTCAACAACAGATGGGGGGGGCACATCATCTGCATCGTCCTCCCATGCATGGGAACAGCTGGCCTGTCATACCTTCCCATAGGACAGTGTTTCCCAAACTTAGGCCTCCAGCTGTTTTTGGACTGCAACTCCCATCATCCCTGGCTAGCAAGACTAGTGGTCAGAGATTATGGAAATTGCAGTCAGAAAACAGCTGGGGACCCAAGTTTGGGAAATACTGGACTACAACTTCCATCATCCATCACCACTGGTCCTGCGAGGTAGGGATGATGGGAGTTATAGTCCAACAGTGACTGGAGGACCCAAGTTGGAGAAACACTGTCATGGGACCTGTGGTGGTGTGGCCTGCAGATCGGGTGGGCTGGGAGACTCCCAACAGCCAGTTAGAGGCCTGAAGGGCCCCATTTGGCCCCTGGACCTGAGATTCCACATCCCTGTTACACAAGCACAGTCTTTAATGCATTAGAACAGGGGTCAGCAACCTTTTTCAGCCATGGGCCAGTCCACCGTCCTTCAGACCATGTGGTGGGCCAGACTATTTTTTTTGGGGGGGGGGAATGAAGGAATTCCTGTGCCCCACAAATAACCCAGAGATGCATTTTAAATAAAAGGACACATTCTACTCATGTGAAAACACACTGATACCTAGACCATCTGCGGGCCAGATTGAGAAGGAGATTGGGCAGCACCCGGCCCCCAGGCCTTAGGTTGCCTACCCCTGCATTAGGAAACGGTAAGCATGTCTTTTTCCAAGGCAGTAATATCAGAGCTGGCCCACCCATGAGGCAGGTTGAAGCCCCGACCTCAGGCGGCAGATGTGTAAGACTGCTTCTGGCATGCGGCACTGCCACCCAAATTGCGGAACACCCTGGCTCTTGCCGAGTTCTGCAAGAGGGGAGGGGGCGTTCTGGCAGCCCCAGAAGTGGGGGGGGCAGCAGTAGGGGGGCAACGGGGGGGACTTCCGTGATTTGCCTCAGGTGGCAAAATGGGATGGGCCCTTTCCCTGACTGCAACTATATCCCAACTCCAAAGCAAGAACTAATGTGCCCCTTAAGCTCTCAGAGCACTGGAGCACTCTTGCCTCTTATGCAATGAGTCGCAGCCTTGGGTATTGTTCCCTGATCCTCAGGAACTATTACAACAACCATGCACAGTAGACCAGTGTTGCTACTTTCACAGTATATTTTGTTTTATGTATTTAGGTGATTTTTTTTTAACCGCCCTTTGCATGTTACAAGGCAGATTGCAGCCGAGTCCAATAAGATAAAAAAAACAAAAACGGATTACGCAGCCCTTAAGACACAGGAATTCGTTAGCAATCATTTATCTCATCAGGTCTCTCTTCCTCCAAACCTCTGCTCCCCAAAGGTGCATCTTAACCAGGTACCTAAAACCACAGAGATGGTGCTAGGTGTACCTCAGGAGGGAGGGAGTTCCACATATGAGGAGCCACCACTGAAAAGGCCCCAATACCATGTACTTCATTCTCAATTGGTTCAACAGTCAATCCCTCTTCACAGGGAACTCTGGGAATCGCAGTTCTGTGAGAGGGAAACAGGCCTCTTAACAGCCTGCAGCACCCTTCAATAAGCTATAGCTCCCAGAATTCTTTCGGAAGCCATGACTGTTTACAGTGGTGTCGTAGTGCTTTAAATATATTCCATGTTAACAGTGTTAAGTTAATGTGCTTAATTAGAGGAAAATCATTAGAGACATTTATTAAGGATTAGAAACTTCTTATGGAATTTCTGCTTGAAAGAGAAAATATACTTGTAATATCTGGATCTGAAGATTGAAAAATTATTGGCTTATATAAAATATAATAGTTGGAGGTCAATGAGTGAATACTATCTTTAGCTGACGGACAGAGAATCAGAAGCCTTTTTCTTTCCCCATCGTCTTTTCTTACTCCTTTTCTCTCTTTGCTTCTGTTCTTTTTAAGATTAGATTTCGAAAGTATTCTTTTTACTCAGGTGTATTATGAAAAGATGCTTTGTATTGGGTAGGAACTTTTCTCTCTCTTTTGGTAAGTTATCAATGAAACTGGACCTAAACCAAAAAACTGTATATGCCTCCAGGTCGGGACCTGCCCTCTTTGCACTTTGCAACGCGACATTAAAAGCACCATAGCATTACTAAGAGATGCTCATACAGCTGCACACACAAGAGGTGTGCTTTGCACGAAAACCCAGCAACGCTGGCACGGGACGGTTTTGCAAAGGCGCAGTCGAGGCAGAGAAGGGGTGGGCGGGCAAGACGGTGGAGTGCGATCATAGGAGACGACAACCAGGGCTAAAGTCCCTTCGGCCCCCCAATAAAATATTTGAGGGGACCGGGGCACACCCCCCCAAGTTGATGTGCATTGCCTTTGTGCGCATCGCGTCTTGTGATCCATTCTGGGGGGCGAGGCATACCTGGGCCTCCCCAATATTTTATTCAAGTTGGCACCCTTGGGTGCAAGCCAAGCCTAGTTGCACAACCCAAACCTTGCACATCAAGGCGCTGCGAAAGCGCAGGAGCCGCGGAGCGGCGCCCCAGCGCGCAAACCTCGGCGCCTCGCGAAAGGCGCGCTGAACTTTCTTCGGAAAGAGGGAATGACCGACAGTAACCCGAGGCGTGACGTCAGCCTCCCCCTCCCCTCTCTCTCACACACACAGACGGGGGGGGAGTGGGCGGGGCGTTTAGCCTTAGCAGCTGGCTACCCGCCAGGGACACGGGGAGGCGGTGGATTTCTGGATATTATATTTGCAATCTCACAGGCTCCTTGTGACTCCCTTCTGCAAAGCCAGCGATCCTCCGTCCTCCCACAAATGCACCCGGCGTGATGTTGCCATGGGTAAAAGGCGGCGTTTTGTTTTGTTTCCAGATGCTGGTGGTAAACGGGGTACAAAAGCACATGGCTCGCGAATGCAAGAGTGGGGGGGGGGCGGGATCCGTTCAAGGGATCCCGTCACCCCAGGAGAAACGGATCCCTCGGTGGGAGAGGAGCAGGCTCGTGCCTACACACACGCTCCCCAAACTCTCACTTCTCAGGCGCGCGCGCGCTCAGGACGCGTTCGCTTCATCCAAACTGGTTAGGAAAAAGGATTTGAGAAATATTGCACACATCAGGCTCTAATTTGGAAGTTGACTCTTGCTGAAATCACAGGCTGGCTGGATATTTATCTATCTTGGCAAAAGGGCACTTTTGAAAATAATAATAATAATAATAAACCATTGCACTCCCTTTGCACAGAAATTAGGACCCTCGTCCCAAACCACAGATCCCGACTTTAACTCAAGCAAGAAAGGGCTTCCACCATGATGCAAGACCCCATTTTTTTTGCAGGTACCAACTGGGCAAAAGCTGCTTCCCTTCTCCCCGGTTGGCACCGTGAGAAACAGCCCCCCCGCCCCCCTACTGACAGTACCCACCGTCAATGTCGCTCAACAGAGCCGTGTCAATCTCGCTGGATTCATGGAGAGTCAGCGAAGGGTCCAAGCCGTCCAAAGACGCCTCTTCGAAGGCGAGGTTGTTCATCTCGGCCACGGCGCGCGCAAACCCCTCCTTAGAGAAACCCCTCCACGCACGCACCCCTACCCAGGCCAAAAATAAGTTGATTTTTTAAATAATAAAATGTGTAATTGAATAATCTGGAGGAGCCTGGATGACAGGCTGGGAGGTGGAAGTGCCTTCCTTAGGCTGCCGGGGACTCCGCGCAAAGAGAAGCCATCTGCGCATCGGGAAGCCAAGCGGCCCGGCGTTTATGGGCTGGGGGCTCCTAGCTGCCTGCTGCCGGCTGCCGTCCTCCCGTCCGTAGCAGGCTCTGTAAGGTGGAGGGAAGGCAAGTTGCGAAGTGGAGCTCAAACCTGCTACTGGGAGGGAGAGCAGGGGGAGGAGCCTCCGCTCTGGGGAACGCCCCCTGGCTCTCTTGATTGGCAGCCCCCTGCAGTTCCCGGGAAGTGAACTGGCTGGCCGGCCCGCCTCCCCCCCATGGACGGGAGGGGTGTGCGGGACACAACAACACCGGCGGCAGGCTCCGCTTACTTAGCAGGAAATCTGGCCCGCTTTGATTAGGGATCACTTCCGAGCAGATGTTGACACGGTTGCAGGCTCAGTGTTGGAGGAGGAGGAAGGCCTTGGAGCAGCTGAAAAGGGAAATTCAACACGTCGTGTCCTCGCCCCCACTCCAACCATGCATGCCCAGAAAGTTGCACCTGATGGATTTCTGCCTGTTGCGCACAAAGGGGGTTAGGGGAGGGACATTAGGATGGTCTGATCAAGGGGACCCCAGAAGGCTCAGGAACCCAAGGATGTGCAATTTGGAAAGGGTATTTGACACCACCTTGCATCATTTTGCAATTATTATTATTATTGTTGTTATTATTATTATTATTATTATTATTATTATTATTATTATTACATTTATATCCCAGTTTTTCCTCCAAAGAGTTCAGGGTGGCGCACATGGTTCTCTGCTTTATACACTTCATCACTGCAACACCCCTGTAGTGTAGGTTAGGCTAAGAGGCAGTGACTGGCCCAGTGTCATACCCAGTGGGCTTCATGGCTGAGTTGGGAGCTGAATTCTGCTCTCCTGGTCTGACACTCAACTCTCAACCACACCGTTGGTAACAGTAGATTAACTTCAGCATAACTGGTTTTTTATATAAAGGAAACAATGCACGAGGTTATTTATTTAAAAGGATTTGTTTACGCACCCTTAAAAATATTACACCCGTGCAATTTTTAAAACATGCTAATAACGAGCTGAGTTTCTCGCATTGGAGGGGTTCCTTCGAACTACAATTCTGTGATTCTATGAACTAAAGAAAAACAATGAAACTGGAAATCGTCTAACCAACCATTGCTTAAAGTAGAAAGAGTTGGGTCCAGACTTCAATCATTATTGGGGAAGACCCATTGGGTAATTTGCCCAACTAAGTCATATTCAGAATGGGTCTTCTCTGAATATGAGTAACCCTAGATATTCACCACTGAAATTAAAGGGGCTTAATAAAAATTAACCATCCCATTTATTGCAAAGGGTCTGCGATAAGAATGGCAAACAGTGTAATTCTCAGCCTGTCAACTCAGAAGTCGCACTGAAATCAGGTGAGGCTTCCATTCAAGAGAGGCTCGGATTCCAGCCTATATCTGGGTCCCAGCAGAAATCTCTACATGTGCTGGGCAATGCAAGCTTTATTTCCTGTAATAATTCTACATATTCTTAGAAGAGACTTGCAAGAGCCCTGTTTGATTGCAAAATAAAATGGGGGAGAAACAAAACTTGTGGGGGTGCCCCCTTTTTCACCTTCTCCACCTCTGTATCCCATCATGCAAGGACACACACAACCTAGATCCACAGGTAACTTTGTGTTTGAATAAAGCACTGCCCCTTTCCGCAATCCAAAATAGGTATTCAAAATAATAAATCTGGGGCCTCCCCTCTATTTTTAGGCGAGACTCTTCCCTCCCCCCCCCCTTGATCCAAGAGGTCAGAGCCATCCCTCAGCTGACCTAGGTTGCCAGATGTTTAGCCAATGTCAAATCTGCTAAAGGTGGCTGTTTTACTACAATTAAGGTTGTCCCACCTATCCTTTTTTGCAGGGCAGGTGGCAAAATTAGTCAGGGCTCCTGCACCATTGATAATTGTGCAGAAGAGGGAATTTCAGCACAGGATACACCTGCAGAAACCGTCTCTTCTACACATCTGTTTAAAGGTACAAGAGCACAGAAGAGGTGGAATATAAATGCCATATGTGTGTGTGTGTGTGTGTGTGTGTGTGTGTGTGTATGATAGAAGAAAGAAAGAAAGAAAGAAAGAAAGAAAGAAAGAAAGAAAGAAAGAAAGAAAGAAAGAAAGAAAAAGAAATTCAGTCAATTAGGGTTTGGACTACTAGATCATCCTCAGGGTCCATTCCAGCTCTACAGTTTTATTCTATAAAAATAAAGAGTTAAACTGCACCCAAAGCTTTTTTTAAAAGAAAACAAGCAAGCAAATAAAGCAGAAATTAACTTCTGGAACTCACTGCTGGAGGATGTGGCTATAGCCGCTACCTTAGATGACTTTATAGGGGGACAAAGGGGAACCAGCAATAAAATGTTGCAATGATCAGATCAAAATGAGCAGATAACAGCAAAGGTTGCTAGGTTCATAGCAGGGGCAATCAGAATAAGGGCCACTAACGGCTGACGGCTGATTCAGGACTTTAAATTGTCCTCTTATATCAAATTTCCTTTTCTGCGTATACTGTACTGTTTTACTGTTGCTTTGGCCATTGGCTAATGTGAATAAAGTTTTATCTATCTAAAAAACAAAACAAAAACATTGCAATGTCCCTCCTCAAGGAGTCAAATAAGCATGCCTGCTTTCAGCAAATTCCATATCACTGCTTTATGGTCCCAGCACCTGCTATTCAGAGGTAGACTGCCTCTGAACATGATGCTCTGCTACGAGGGTGGGGAAAACTCTTCATCTCAATGGCCACATTCTCTTCTGGGCAACATTGGCTTGGGGGCGGGGGTCAGTTACCTGCCAGTGGTGGGCAGGGCTAGAGCCAACACGTGGGTTTTGCTTTGATAGCGTCAGCTAGTTTTACGGTCCACTGTCTCGCCCTTCTTCACAGAAAAAGAGGAGTTGTCAGTCACTGGGTATCATTATATTTAGGGTGGCATCTTATTCAGAGGCCGTCTACCTGAAGAGTAGCTGTTGAGGACAAAGAGCAGCAGAAAGTCATTTGCCTTTATGGCCTCAATTTGGCCTAGATGGGATTTTCAGCTTTTGTGCAGATAGGGTCTCACTTGAGTGAATGCTCCTTTAAATCAACAACAATCTAGATTAGCTGCTCAAGGAGAAGAGCATCTTCCTGTCGCACTACTTTTCTATGTGCAGGGATTTCTTTTAAGGTGGAAGCCTGCAGTCATTCAAACCCCAGCCTGCAGTCTTAAGTGGTAAGACCCAGGCAGAGTCTCCCTCAGTGAGAAGTTGGCTACAAACTTAAATAGAATTACTTGCGAGTACCAAATCGGCCTAGGATTTAAATATGTGATGTTGTATAATACTATGGATAAAAGTTAAAATGAAAGGAAAGAAAGATGTTACAGTGGTGCCCCGCAAGACGAAATTAATTCGTTCCGCAATTTTTGTCGTCTAGCAAATTTTTCGTCTGCGAAGCAACGAAATCCCATAGGAATGCATTGAAATCAATTAATGCGTTCCTATGGTCAAAAAGGGACGCAGGTGCGCTGTGGGTTAAAGCCTCAGCACTAGGACTTGCCGAATCGAAAGGTCGGCGGTCGAATCCCTGCCGGCCGGGGTGCCTCCCGCTTGCTCGGGTCCAGCGCCTGCCAACCTAGCAGTTCAAAGCCACCCCCGGGTTGCAAGTAGATAAATAGGGACCGCCTACTAGCGGGAAAAGGTAAACGGTGTTTCCCGTGTGCGGCGTCTGGCTCGCCAGAGCCAGCGATGTCACGCTGGCCACGTGACCCGGAAGTGTCTCCGGACAGCACTGGCTCCCGGCCTATAGAGTGAGATGAGCGCACAACCCTAGAGTCTGGCAAGACTGGCCCGTACGGGCAGGGGTACCTTTACCTTTACCTATGGTCAAAAAAAGTCCAAACAAAGCCAAATTTGGTACAACAACAGTTTATTAACTGCTCTTTAAAGTCACACATACTGTAAAGAGCAGTTCAAAAATTGAAGGGAAAATAAATTAACTTTATAAACAAAACATGTCTTTGTTTTTAGACAAAGAAAACAAAGTCGTGAGACGTTTTCGTCTTGCGAAGCAAGCCCATAGGGGAAATTTGTCTTGCGAGGCAAATCGAAAACGGAAAAACCTTTCGTCTAGCGAGTTTTTTGTCTTGCGAGGCATTCGTCTTGCGAGGTACCACTGTAATTGGACTAAGTAAATTTTATGTAAAATTAGTTTTGGAAAACTGCTACAATGATTTATATGGAAATTCAGCCAGGGGAAGTCGAGGAAGTCATCTAACAATGTCAACTAAAGTGGAATTTCTATAGTTAGGATATATGTCTGCTTGTTTGTTTGTTCTTTGATGTTTTCTTTTTATGTTTGATGATATGTTTGTTTTAAAATTTGGAAAATTTAATTTAAAAAAATTGGGGGGGGGGGAGAGAAGTTGGCCACATTCTGAACATGTGAGTAGCGAAGGGCCTTCCCCTACTTTCTGCCCACAATGCCTGAAATTCAGAGGTAGACTGCATTAGGTCATGCAGGTTCCATTTAGCTGTCATTAACAACAGGTCTCATCTTTCTCCCCTAATCAATTTGTCCGTTTTTTAAAGCCACCCAGACTAATCTTTACTTCCTTTCAGGGCTGTTTGTCGTTGCAGGCACAAACGTGCCTTCTGCGATCAGGATCTCCCTGGGAGCAAACAAACAAAAAGGCAGGGAAAGAGTTAAAACTTGTTCCGCTCTTGTGGGCGGGGCCGTGCTGCGACCTCAGCCAATCGGCTGCGGCCAAGGCAGGAATGCCCCCGCGGGAAAGCTTAGTTGAGCAAGCGGGGAAACACCTCCAGTAGTGCCAGTCGGCTCAGCCAATGGCAGCGCGGCTCCGCAGTGGAGTGATTTCGCGTCACAGCCCAGGCTCTAGGATTACATCATGGGGGCGGGGATTCCCCTCCTCCACGTGGAGAGGAAGGCGAGGAGCTGCCAAAGTCAGAGTCGACTTGGGGGTGGAGTCAAGGATTTAAAGGAGCCGCTCAGGTTCGGTTCCCCGTTGTTTGTGGACGGAAACGAGAGCTTTGTGTTAAATATCCTGCAGCGCAGGGACTTAGCCAGGACTTAACCAGGTGGCCAGATGTAAAAGGGGGAAAAACATCAGGGCTCTTGCACAACCATGTAAGCCGTACCTGCTGAAATTTCTTCTATTAAGGAAAGAATATAACTAATAAAATAATATTATTTTATGAAATAATATTAAAAGGTGCATCAACACTCCCCGTTTCATAGCTGCCTGCCGCCGCGAAGCATAAATCTCCGGGCCTTTTAATTTTTTTACTTTAAGGGGTCTTGCCGGGCACGTAATAATTCCTCTGCACATGAGCAGAAAGCTTTTCCTCGTATGCACACTGGGCGGGAGTGGGGTGCCAACTTCAGCACTCTTTCCCCAGCTGCATAGAACAGAGTAAGCCTGTAGATGAAGGTTTCCCTCACTGCTGCAGCTGCGTGGTAGGAAAAGCAGCACCTGTTGGATTACTGCCTTGCAGAGGGGTGAAGTCAAACTGCTGCATTGACAGCACCAAAAGTGACCTCTCCAGGGCGCAAGCCTGGGCAGGGTGTATGGAGGTCTTGGACCACCCAGACGACAAGATCCCCCCTCAACCTCGCTGGTGTGGTCCAAAGGAAAGCGGAGCAAGACATTTGGTACCAGCTGGGCGGCAGGAGTTGGCGGCAGGAGGAGTACAAGGCGCCATTCAACTGCCTTAGGGACTCCACTCCGGATTTGTTTATTTTAGGTCTAGGATCAGCGTTGTCCTTCTCCTAGATGGGCTACTTTCCCAGGTGGAATCCGTTGGAACCTGTCTTCGACTGCAGGGCAAGTCCCTAACTCACCGAGGGTTAGAGACCCATCGGCTACCGTCACCTGGTTAAGCTGACCAGTCGAAGCCATTCCCAGTGTGGGGCTGCTGTCGCCTGCTGACAGCTTCTGGGACCCACAGGTGTAGAATTTCAACAATTGGTTTTATTTATATTTTGAATTTCTTTTTAGATGAATTTCTTTTTTTATTGACTTTTATAGATAACTGCAAATGCATAGTTTATGTAAAACACTGAAAGCAGCAGCTAAAATTGAGCTGTTTTGCAACAGTTTCAGTGGAAACTAGCTGGTGCTATTGGAGCAGCCAAGAATGCTAGCTGCTGGGTGCTTGGGACGTGCTGCACAATGGATGGGAGGACCTACCTGGCAATCACCATATGTTATGACACCTGATAATTGACAGGTAGGTTCTCCACCCCAGCTGTAGATTGCAGGCTCCTTGGGGCAGGGGCCTACCCACACCTTTTGTAAAGCTGTTACGTACATGGATGGCACTACTGCCATCAATCGCTTTGTTCTCGCTGTGTGTGGAAATTGCAAAACCCATGTTCCTTTCCACAGTTTTCTGCTCTGTCAGAGCAAGTTTCCTCCCAAACAGAAACTGGCACTGTATTTTACTAGAATGTTGTGGCAGACAAAAGGCCGCAGGAGGCACATGATGCGCTGGAAAGAACAGCAGTAAACAAGGCTACAAAGCCAATAGACAGAAGTCACTGAGCTGGGCAGTCACATTGCAGCTGGTGCTCATGCAGACCAAGGACATCTTCACACCATCCATTTAAAGCACTGCAGCTCCACCTTGAGCAGTCCTGCTTTTTGCTAAAGAACTCTAGGAGCTGTAGTTTCTTACGGGTGCAGAGAGTTGTTCGGAGGCCCCTATTCCTCTTATGAAGGGACGCAGATGGTGCTGTGGCCTAAAACCACAGAGCCTCTTGGGCTTGCCGATCAGAAGGTTGGCGGTTCGAATCCCCACGACGGGGTGAGCTCCCGTTGCTCGGTCCCTGCTCCTGCCAACCTAGCAGTTCAAAAGCACGTCAAAGTGCAAGTAGATAAATAGGTACCACTCCGGCGGGAAGGTAAATGGCATTTCCGTGTGCTGCTCTGGTTCGCCAGAAGCGGCTTAGTCATGCTGGCCATATTACCCGGGAAAACTGTCTGCGGACAAACGCCAGCTTCCTCGGCCAGTAAAGCGAGATGAGCGCCACAACCCCAGAGTCGTCTGCAACTGGACTTAACTGTCAGGGGTCCTTTACCTTTTTTATTCCTCTTACAACTCCCAGAGTTCCCTGTGAAAAGGGTTTGTTAAACCACACTGGGAAATGTAACTATAATTGGGACATGGGGGGGGGCATCCATTTAAAGAATTATGATACCCCTTAAACAGCCATGACCTTCTTCCCAAAGAATTATGGGAGCTGTAGTTTCTGAAGGACGCTGAGAGTTGTTAAGAGACTCCCTATTCCCATCACAGAGCCAGTGCTTTTCTTTCTGGGGTCACTCAAGGGTACGCAGTACTGACACTTCTTTTTCTAGAAGGAAAGCACAGCAAAGAAATACAATTCCCAGAGTCTCATAGGAAGAGGGACTTTTTTGCTAAACCACTCATGGGAGAAATAAATGAATAGCAGATTCCGATTCGTCTCCCAGAGCGGCTTAACAGTCAGTCCCTCTTGATAGGAAACTCTGGGATTTTTTTTTAAAAAAATGCTTAAAATGTTAGCAGGTTTCATTCAGCTGCTTAACATCAATGACAAGCGGGCAGCAGAGCAGGCCTTTTGCAATTTAATCGGACATATTTTTCTGTACCTCCTACGTTAAGTAACACTCCTGTTTCCAATACTCCTACCTTCATTCCAACGAGAATTCTTTGAGTTCTTTGAAGCGGGAGGGGAGAAATGACCTGGAACCTGGTTGCTCGAGAAGGTGCCTGATTATCTTCTCCTTCCACTACCTCCACCGCCCTGTTTCTTAGCATAAATCTCCGCCGCCACCCCCGCCTGCCCTGCCCAGCTGCAAGTTTGGCCAGTCGTGAAAAACTAAACCAAAACTAGCATCCTGGCCCAATTCAGGGTGGGTGCATGGATTTAATTTTATATAGGAAAAAGTATTTTGGACTTTTTAGTTTAAAGACACTTATCTGGAAGGGGAAGGATGTCATCATGATAAGAGGGTTATAAATTTTTGCGTAGTGTGGAAGAGGTATGGAAGAGGATTTTTTCTCACTCCCCCCCCCCAATGTTTTTAAAACTGTCATCCAGTAAATACTGCTGGTATTTAGGAACATAATCATGGGGCAGGGGGGAGCTTGCCATAAGCATCTGGTTTACCAATGGAAGAAAATAACAGCAAGCTAGATGAGTCTTTGGTCTGTTCCATCAAGGTCCTTTTTATGTTCAAAGCCAATGGTCTCCAACTTGTGGGTTGAGAACCACTTGTGGGTCACACAGCCTGATCCAAAATAGGTTGCAACAGGAGCACTGACACCATGCAAATATGCAGCAGGAGATTAAGAATTTGGTTCCCCAAAGCAAGTTGGGGTTTAAAAGTGGGTCCTGGGTCTGAAAAGGTTAAAGATACCTGTCCAAAGCTCTAGGTGATTGAGATCCTTTTGCCTTAAAACCCACGAAATCCTGGGATGCGACTGGGTGATACATTCAATCCATCACCACACGGCCAACATTCACGTCTAGTCGTTATCGCTGTACAGGTTTGCACTAACGGTATTTTATTGGAGTATTTCACATGCAAGAATGAAAGGAGAAAAAAAATGTACAGAGACCGACGGACAGACAAGAGTTAAGTGACAGCAGGTTAATTAATACATCCTGATGCAAAAACCGTTTAGCAGGTTTTCGCTCACACAAAGAACACCATCACTAAAAAGGAAGGAGAGAAAGAGAGAGAGAGAGAAAAGCCAGGATAGTTTTAAAGGCATTTAAAGAATTAATTTTTACATAGCTGTCTTTACATTTTTAAAAAACAATTAATTCCCTTTCCCTGCCCACCAACCTTCTCCCCCAAACAAACAAAACAAACAAATATTTTCAGTAAATAAATATTATCCACTTTTAATCTGGACACGCCTAGAGCTTTTTAAAAAATATACAGATGGAGACACTATGACACAGGTTACGGTGGGGTGATGCTATTGCAACAGTTAGCAGACGTGGGGGGGGGGGAGCTCATACTAATTTTCTCGGAGGGCAGAGGAACCCCACTGAATAAGGATGTTCTGTAGAAGCATTTGCTTGCCATGGAGAAATAAGAGCAGGAAACAGATTTATAGGGGTTATATGAGGAACCAGGACGACAAAAGGCCAGGATTGGTGTTTTGTTTGTTTTAAAATCCAAATAGTTAGCAGGTTCAGTCACTGCATGCCTAAGGTTCAAAAGGACTGTACAGAAGATTTGGAAATTTCTAAGCAAGCCACTTCCTGTGAGATTATAAAAGGGTGTTGTGGGATCACAAATTCAGGTGTGGTCCGCACTTCTGCAGGTATCAAAGCAGGGTGGAGGTTAAAAGGAGGCCAAGTGTTCAGGCCAGATGCTGGATAATTAAAAGGGCCCAATTCTCGACTGCTATCCTGCAGCTGCCATTCATCCACGGCCGCCTTGTGTTGATGCTTCTATGGCTGCAGCTATTAACTTTAAAGTCAGCATTTAACACCAGAGGTTGAGCAAAGAATTGGGTCCATACTTCATACCTTCTGTGCTCTCCTGAAAGGTCATGAGACCATGTTAAGTTTGCTTTCCAGGCTAAGCCTGAAAAAACGGCTCAAATAAACACCCAAGTTCCTCACTTCTATTTAAGAATCGGGAACCTGTGGCAACTTCAGGCATTGCCGGGACTCCCAAAAGCCTCAGCCAGCATGGCCAATGGTCAGGGATGATGGGAGTTGTGGTTTAGTGGCAAGCTCACCTATCCACATGAGACATTTTAAACTGGATTGAGACCACTTCAAAAATCATCATTTATGATCTGCACCCCCCTCCTGCACAAAAAATTGCCCTGGGAACTGCTGCGTTGGGAGAGTGCCATGAATTGTGCCAAATGCATCTCACCTCTTTGCAGACAGGCATTTCCCAGGGATCATTTGGGCGGGAGACACGGCAGCGAAAACAGAGCCAAAGGTTTAAAGTTTGTGGGGTCAATAGGCCATTAATCAGGGGGATCCCATGCCCTGCACCAGTCCTTCTTATCCTAGCAGTAAGTACCAGTAGGGGATGCTTTCGCCTCTCTTTGATCCTCACAGGGACTGAATCAGACCTTCCCCAGTTTTAGAGGACAACTCCCATCAGCCCCAGCCTGTAGTTTGAAACATCTGGAAGGTACCAGGTTGGGAAATACTAAACCGAATGAAGGAAGGTTCGATGCATGCTAGACTGCCAGAAGTGAGCACTGATGCAGCTCTGGCGTTCTTTTGTCTGTGCAGGGGAAGAGTGCAATGAAAAGGTTAAAATATCCCCATCTCCTCTGTTGGAGACGCTTTCTTTACTGATCTGCCAGCCACCACCCAGATGAAGGGCTGGCAGCAAACTAGAACCCCAGCAACCTTCTTTTACAAAGGAAAAAGTGCTTTCCCATCCCTGGACCCCTCTTGTTCCTCCTCTGCCTGTCCTCCCAGGACAGGGATGGGGAGTGACAGGAAAAGGCCAGGCACAGCTTCTCCTGCTCCTCCTCCTGTAGTGTCAACGGGACGGCTATCTTCTTATCCAGATTACCAAGATGCAGCAGCTACAGAGAGCCACTGCACTGGCACAGCCAGTTCTGGGCTGTGGACAGCAGGCTTGAGGTCTGGGCCAACAGAAGCTGGTAGCAAATGCTCCAGAGAGGCAGGTCTCAGACTAGGGAATGGGAAAGAACGTGGCCTTCTTGCTATGGCTGGAAGCCTCCTTGCCCCCGTTTCATTCTTTCCCCATTCTTCCTGGAAGCTGGAAGGTTTCACTGTCTCCCCCAAAGGCTATGGCCCCATCCACACTATTAGTTTAAATCACAGCCATTCCACTTTAAACAGTCATGGCTTCCCCCGAAGAATCCCGGGAACTACAGTTTGTTAAGGGTGCTGAGAGGTGTTAGGACACCCCAGTTCCCCTCACGAAGCTGCAGTTTCCAGTTTGGTTGAACAACCCTTCCTTCTTCCCAGGGAACTCTGGGAATCATAGCTCTGTAAGAATAGGGGCCTCCTCTCAGCACCCTGGACAAACTACACTTCCCAGATTTTTTTGACGGAAGCCATGACTGTTTAAAGTGATATGATATGGCTTTAAATGTATAATGCAGATGGGGACAGAGAGACAGATGCTGGAGGCCAGTCTTTGGAAACTTTGTGTGCTCCAGATGTTTTGGGCGAAAACTTCCATCAGACCCAGCTGGGTGGTGGGAGTTGCAGTACAAAACATCTGGAAGGAACCAGGATGGTGACAACCGCACAGCTGTATGGACAGGACAATGGCCAAATGGTCACTTTCCATTTCTAAGATGCTTTGTTATCATTTAAAGGTTCTTCCTCCTCCCCGGCACACACGTGGTTATTTAACAATTTCTTCATAGCCTAAGAATTCGTAACAGGTTTTGCTATTGCACCAGTCTTATACAGATTTGAATTCTACACATAACACTTAAGAAAAGGGGGGGTGTTTGGTGGTAGAGAAGGAACATGCTATGCACCTCCTCACACATGGAATATATTTTAAACGGAAACAATTTGTTTTCTTCGTTCTGACACCTCAGAACACAGAGGTGTTAATAAAGACGCTGTAGGAAATGCGTTTCTTAAAAAAAAAAAAAAGGAACAGGTGAAGGGAGGTAACAATTAAGGTCCCAATCCAGCAAGGATTTCTCTCGTACAAGTTCCCGCTCACTTCAGTGGAGATGATGCCAAGAAACTTCCTACAGGATCAGGCCAAAAATAAATATCCGAAGCCTAAATGATAGGCCTCATTAGTGTTTGAGTAGGATCCCAACAATAATTTAGTGTCATTTAGTGATTCCTAACACAGATAAGGGATTTATTTTAAAAAAATGGATAGTCCCATATTCTCGTGGATTATGCCACTTGGGGTCAGAGCCTTCCCTCACTTTTGGCCTCTAATACAATAGACAGCCCCTTCTCTCTTCACCCCTGTTAATACGGCAATGGTGAAGATGGTTGGAGAGAAAGGAAGTAAAACTGAGGGCAGAAATGCCTGTGGAAATAAGGACAAAGGGAAGAAATATATTTAAATTCCAACTTCCCAGTTTGGGCGTCACAAGGAAGCAATGGGAGGTCATTGGGATATGAGACGCTAGGGAAACTCCCAAAAAAGCTCTGGCAGGTGTTCGGTGAGTGTTGCAGACCAACCTGGTGCCCCTCCAGATGTTCTGGGAGCTGCGGTGCAAAACATCTGGAAGGCACCAGGTTGTGGGAAGACTGTGCTAGGACATAGCCAGAAACCTAAGTTCACATGCTCCAAGGGCATCTAGCTGCAGGCGAAAGAGCTGGGTCCTCGCGGGAACAACCGAGGGCTCTTGAGCCAAGGGACCTTCCTCCTGTAGCAGGAACTGCCCCTATTGGGGAGCACCTAGGCAGGGGGGAAGCAAAAACGTCCGCATCTCTCTGACACTAATAAGTCATTTCATTTCTCATCAAGCCTAGACTGGATGAGATTCTTCTCCGCTTTGCCAAAACAGCCGGCAATGGCTGCCTGTTCTTCTCCTTGGCATAGTATCTTGCAACAAATCCACCTCTAAAGGGATCTCAACGCTGCTGGAACAGGGATGGGGAACCTGTGGTCCTTCAAGCTGTTGCTGGGAATCCAACGGCCATAAGCCCCAGCCCTCACAGTCAATGATCAGGGATAATGGGAGCTCTGAACTAGTCACATCTGGAGGGGCACAGGTTCCCAAATGCTGAGCTACTACAAAGCAATGGAATGGACACAACTGGTTTCTACTCTACGTGCTAGAGACAGAGCCCTGTGCTAGAGACCTGGTCCTCCTTCTTAAAGTAGCCAGGAAGCCAGATCACAGCGTTGGAATGTCAACATGCAACACACACACACACACACACACACACACACACACACACACACAGGTTACCCAAACATTCTTGCTTAGGAGTAGTGCCACAATATCCAGACAGGCAGGTGGAGAAACCACCATCCAATTGGACTAGACATGGGGCCAGACAACGCATCGAACAGCCACGCCCAAAACAGGGCTTCCAGTTGCATGAGCTTTTAAAAGCATACGTCCGCTGAGCGGACGGTGCAAGAGGCAGCAGAATGGGGCAATATCATTTCAGACTGCAGCTGTTAGAGGGCCCTTTTTGAATACTCCTCCTTGTAAACATTCATAGCAAGTAGAGACCTAACACCGTAACAAGAAAAGATTCCAGCTCACTCCTTTGCCTGCTGCGCTGGCTTTTGATTTGTACGGAATATTTAAAACAAGGAAGTGGTGCAGCCCACTCAGCTACCATAGGTCTCTACCACATCACTCTGCTGCATGGGGGTGGACCAAGTCAAACATCAAGACTAGGACCTGGGATCAAAACAGCAAAACTAACTGCAACGCAGGAGGTCGAACCATATATGACAGACAGTTCCACCACAAAGCAGAATGCAACTCCCGTGGTTTGATTTAATCCTGCACAAATATGTGACGTGATCCCAGGGAGGGGGCAGTTGCTACTTTCCTCCTGGGTGGACCTTACATTATACCCTTGGACAGGTTGAAACCACACACCAAATTGTCAGTGGATCGCGTGGGGTGCTCCCATCTCAGAGCACCTCTCTCCGCCAGGCAAAACACCCATACAGGTTCATCACCCAAAGTTACCAGTCGTATGGAGGCCCAGGAAGTGGCAGTCGCGCTGGACCAGGAAAGCAACAGCAAGCAAGATCAACTCCTATACTAAAAGGGTCACTTCTGCCTTCTCTAACTCCACTTGGGATTTGTTGGAAGGCCAGAGAAGCCAAAGACAAGTACCCTGTCGAGAATTTGGCACAGCCTGGAAATCCTGACAGCAACTTCAGGGGTGCTAGCGGAGGCAGAGGGGCACGCAGACAAGACGGGAAAAGCCATCACTTAGAACGCAGCAGCCGAGGTGCCAACAAGGGTCGTCATTCCAGACTATGCACCACACTGTCTCATGCTACTCATTGAAGTTTCCCCATTCAAAATTTAAAGTGCAGCTTCCTTGCAATGCACGCAGCAGCCCAGCTGTGGCCGGATCCTACTCCCAGGATTCTCAGTGACACCTCTGTGGCAAGGACAGAGGATCTATTCTAAACCCCTTTCCACGTGCGTCTCACATACACCCATGCAAAGCAGGCCTTTGGTATGTGTGTGCCAGGAGTCCACCTGGCAAACACAGATACTACTTTAAAGACTGCCCATTTGGGGGGGGGGGTTTCTTCTCCCTTGTAGAGACAGCGTACCCGCTAAGAAACACGGCCTACCTATCAGAGCCAGGTCACAATCCTCACTGCAGTTGACCACCTTAGGGCAGAAAGCCAAACAAACATCCCACGAAAAAGATCCACAACCCAGCTGGGAAGGGGGAACAGGCAACGCATGGTGCCAAATTCTGGGACTGCAGCATGACGATAAATTTCTTTTGTGTTCAACCTATGGGAAGGCTACGCCGGTTCTTGAGAAACAGGCACCTAAACATACTTATACACTATCAGAGATGCACCAAGCATGTTGCACTTTGGACTGGCTTGCGGGAGAAAGGAGGTTTTGGCTTAAATAAAAGACAGGACTGCCCTCTGCACAACTCTGTTCTGGAGCTGCCGGAAATGCGGGGAGGTGAGATGAGAAAGAATTCATGCATTATTATTATTATTATTAAAAAAGAGAGAGGGTCTTGGTATTGAGCTGGGTGGGTGGGTGCGAGAGAGAAGGAGCTTAGCGAGTGGGGAAGGACAGCCACAGAAGTGACAAGGCTGGATGTAAATACTCTGTGAAATGTTAGCTTATTCGGGCTGGATCGCTTCCAAGAGGTACGAGAGGCCATCTATGGAACCCAGGAGGGCAAAGGGAGCTCGTCGCTAGCTGGAGAGCACAAGGAGGCCGCTGGACTGCGCGGTTGCCTTCCTCCACACACGCACACGGGGAAGAAGAGCCGAGGAAGGAGCGTCACAGGGCAAAGAGGGCATCTTCCGAGCGCTCCGGTTTCTTTTTGCTTGGGGGGTTTGCCGTCGTCGGTGGCGTGGGTTCCTCCTGAGGTGGCGAGGGCAGGTTGGGGATCCTTTCAGCAGCTTTGGCGCGCTCCTCTAGGAATTTGTCAAACTCTGCAGGATTTGTAAACATAATAAAGAGTTTATGTTGCGATTTAGGGCTAAAGGAACTTTGCCGCAAGCTATGGCACGAGGATGCCTGCGGGGGCTATGCAGCTCTGCAAAACTGCCCCCCCCCTTGCAAAAGGACCTCCTGCGGCAGATGCCCTAAAACAGAAATGGAGAACCTCAGGCCTTGGGGGGCCAAAGGCTCTCTATCGGGCCCTCAGGACTCTCCCAAGCCTCAGCCATGTTTCCTTGAATTCTGATTATGCTTCCTGCTTGCCTGAATGGAGGATAGAAAGGGGTGTGCATGTATGTATGAAATGAATCTACAGTGGTACCCCGCAAGACGAACGCCTCGCAAGACGGAAAACCCGCTAGACGAAAGGGTTTTCCGTTTTGGAGGCGCTTCGCAAGACAAAGTTCCCTATGGGCTTCCTTCGCAAGACGAAAGCCCATAGGGAAATCTCCGGGACAGCGGGGAAGCGCCTCCGCTGTCGCCCGCCAGCATTTTAAAAAGCCCCGGGACAGCGGGGAACTTCTCCGCTGTCGGGGCGATCTTAAAATGCTGGCGTGCGAGAGCGAAGCCTCCGCTGTCGCCCGCCAGCATTTTAAAAAGCCCCGGGACAGCGGGGGACTTCTCCGCTGTCGGGGCGATCTTAAAATGCTGGCGGGCGGGAGCGAAGCCTCCGCTGTCGCCCGCCAGCATTTTAAAAAGCCCCGGGACAGCGGGGGACTTCTCCGCTGTCGGGGCGATCTTAAAATGCTGGCGGGCGGGAGCGAAGCCTCCGCTGTCGCCCGCCAGCATTTTAAAAAGCCCCGGGACAGCGGGGAACTTCTCCGCTGTCGGGGCGATCTTAAAATGCTGGCGGGCGGGAGCGAAGCCTCCGCTGTCGCCCGCCAGCATTTTAAAAAGCCCCGGGACAGAGGGGAACTTCTCCGCTGTCGGGGCGATCTTAAAATGCTGGCGGGCGGGAGCGAAGCCTCCGCTGTCGCCCGCCAGCATTTTAAAAAGCCCTGGGACAGCGGGGGACTTCTCCGCTGTCCGGGGCGATCTTAAAATGCTGGCGTGCGGGAGCGAAGCCTCCGCTGTCGCCCGCCAGCATTTTAAAAAGCCCCGGGACAGCGGGGGACTTCTCCGCTGTCCGGGGCGATCTTAAAATGCTGGCGTGCGGGAGCGAAGCCTCCGCTGTCGCCCGCCAGCATTTTAAAAAGCCCCGGGACAGCGGGGGATTTCTCCGCTGTTCCGGGGCAATTTAAAAGCCCCGGACCATGCCCCGATGCCGGGCGGCGGACGGGAACGCCTCCCCCCGCCGCCCGCCATCGGGACCATGCCCTGATGCCGGTGGACGGGCGGGAACGCCTCCCCCCGCCGCCCGCCATCGGGACCATGCCCCGATGCCGGGGGCGGGGCCGCGAAGCCTGGGCGCGCTGATCTCAGCGCGCCCAGGCTTCGGCATGCCGGCAACTCTCCGCAAGCTGCGGCAGCGCTGCCGCTGCTTGCGGAGAGGTCCGCGAACCCTGGGCGGACATCTTTTGAAGGCAGGGGGGGAGCAAAGACTTTTGCCCCCCGCCAGCCTTCAGAAGAGGTCCTGGACCTCTTCTGAAGGCCAGCGGGGGGCAAAAGTCTTTGCTCCCCCCTGCCTGCCTTCCCGGGAGAGCGGAGAAACGCAGCACGTTTCTCCGCTGTCCCGGAGGGCTTTTGAATGCAGGCGGGGGGAGCAAAGACTTTCGCCCCCCCCCAGCCTTCAGAAGAGGTCGGGGGACAGACTGTCCCCGGACCTGGTCTGAAGGCGGTTTCCCTAGGAATGCATTAATTGATTTTCAATGCATTCCTATGGGAAACCGTGCATCGCAAGACGAAAAACTCGCAAGACGAAGAGACTTGCGGAACGAATTAATTTCGTCTTGCGAGGCACCACTGTACTGGGAAAAGGTCACTTTCACATTCTTTGCTCTACCCACTTTTACCTCTGCCCATGCCCACCACTGCTGTCACCCAGAAGGGGGTGTGGCCCTCAGGCCGCCCCAAAACATCCCTGGCCAACCTGGTGCTCTCCAGATGTTCTGCACTACAGCTTCCATCAGTCCCAGCCAGCACAGCATGATGGGAGTGTTAAAACTCCGAAGCCTGTGAGCACTTTCTGAAGTCCTTTCGCATGCTACTAGGACCAGTCTCTTCAACTCTGAACTTCTTCAATGATGCACAACTTAGCAGAGTAGTGCAGCTTTTCCCAGGCAACGATCGAGACTGCTCAGTCGGGACGATGATCAGCAACAAAGCTGACGACTAGTAACTTGATTTTGTAGTTTATTATATACGGCAGCAAACTCACAAGCTATATACAAGTTACTATATACAGACATGAACGTCATCACTCTCCAAGCACTCCAGAATACTCCTAACTAGCCAAACAATGTCATAGGTCATGCTGCCTATATGAAAGACCTCAGCCAATCACTGAGCTGTTACTCCAGGCAAATTTCTCCTGCGCTCTGTCTCCCTAGCCTGTAGTCAAAACACTAATTGCTCACTTGCCAAGCTGCACGTGGACTATGAACTCCAACAGGGAGTTGCTAGTCCAAAATACCTGGAGGGCACCAGGGTAGCCAGGGATACCTAAACAAAAATGTGGGGTGTGATCCACTGTTCCCTTGTCAGAAATCAGAGCCCATTGGCTCTCTGCAAGAAGGGCTTGATTGAACTCCAAGGGATGATTGCCCTGATAATGGCTCCTAGGAAAGACTGCTCTTATGAATCCTGGTCTGTGTGTTCTCTGCCTCAAATAAAATTCTGCCCCCAACTTGTTGGCATCCACCTGTCTCAAGAGACAATGAAGTGCACGTCTGGGGGTGAAGTCAAACTGCAGAAGAATCACAGCACCTGCTGTGGCTGCAGAGACCAGCAACTCGTATCTGCTGGCTCCCACATTGTTTTTCCTGTGTCAGCAGCAGCAAAGTGACCTCTCCAGGGCACAAGGTCCTGGGCTGCTGATGTGGTCCTCTTGGCCTTGCTGATATGGTCCAAAGGAAAGCAGGGCAGTACATTTGGCTGCAGGAGTTAACGGAAGAAGGCATACAAGATGCCATTCAACTGCCTTAGGGACTCCACTCCCTAATTGTGTAGGGTTTACTCCTTAGCCTTTTCTTCTCCTGAAGATATCTTCCAAAGCAGTAGGCATGGATTTTTTTTCTTGGGGTTTCTCATGAATGAGTATAGCCGCAAGGCAGCGGAGGCGTAGGATCAAAGTTTTCCTTCTCCTAGACAGGCTTCCTTCCCAGGCTGACGAGCCCCATCTGCCCCCAAAGCTGAATACTGCAGAAAGTATTAAATGTCTCCCATTTTGCATAACTTTTAGGGAGCGGCAAGGAAATATGCAGGTATCTCACATGGCCACGTTGTTTTGGAGAACAGGAAACTGCTCGCTCTCTGCACTTTTCAGAAACCATTTAAGACATATTTGTCCTGACAAGTTTTCCCAGCTGAATCAATCGACCTCTGCCATGGATGTCAACTTTATATTTTTTGCTTATTTTTCATTCTGTTATACACTGTTTCTTAAAACAACTAAGAAGTATTTGTTCTTTTAAAGACCATCCTGCCTGCCACATTCTGAACTTTTTTCCTGCACTCCCAAGGTATCACAACACACAGAGTCCTGCAGGTGGCTTTGTGCCTTGCAAGAATTTTACTTGAGTTTGTGTGTGTCCCCCCCCCCATGCTTGCTTGTTTACCTTCACTCGTCACTCCTTCTTCCAGTTCGTCTCCTTTCTGCAGTTGGAATGAAAGTGGGGGTAGGGAAGAGAAAAGAAATATTAGCACATGCTCAGTTCATACCTCTAAGGTGCTTCCAGCACTGGAACAGAGCAATCAAAATAACCGGGTGCACCATTAAAGTCAGTTGATGGCATGTACACAGCTAGTGTGATGTACACACCTTAAAACTAGACCAACCAATATTCCTTCTCTGAAAGGAACAAATACAATTGTGCCGCGGGCAGTGGCTGTCTCCACTATCTTGTCCTTTCCATCAGAGGAGAAGGAGAACTGGCCTTTTCCAACTCAAGTCAGGGTCACATCAAAACAGGAACCCCAAATAACCATTTTTCTTACACCTCCGCTAAAACGGGGGCCATGGATGGACTACTACAGGAATGCAAGCAAGTTCTTTGTCACACGGGCAAGCCAAGAAGTCGCTAAGAAATGTTTGCTGGAAAGGTGACTCCCCAACCCACCGCCACCCCAGCCCGAGGTCTGGAATAAAAATCAATTATAGGAAAAATGATTGGATGTAAGAAGTTGGAATAGAGTTCACAGTGTGCCCCTGAGCAGTGGGTTGAAAACCTTCATGCACAAAACGGCAAGCAGTTTCACAAGCAAAATCAAAGGCTGGAGCAGCCATAGGTCTTCTGTCCTCTTTTGCATTTATCAGGCATGCGATCTGCAGGGAGAGCCCTCCTGATCATACTGTGGTCTACTAAAGTTTGGTTTTCCCATTTTCTGGAACAAGCTTCCTATGCAGATTAGGCAATCCTCAGTGATGGGATGCTTTTGCAGACAGCTAAAGACCTTGATGTTTGACCTGGAATCTCCTGACTGCTGACACTGAGGATTTTGCTTCATTTGTTGTTGTTTTATACAGCTACTATGTTTGCTGTAATTATGTGTAACGGCTATTTGGATGGCTTAATTGTTGTTATTTATTGATTTGTTTTCATGTAAAGATTGTGAACTGCTTTATAAACGAAAAGCGGTAGAGAAGGGATTTAAAAAATAATTAAGTTCTTCTCATTTATTTTTAAAAGCTGCGTCTTCATTTGCTGCATTCCGCTACCCCAAAGTAGACTGCTCCAGGGATTTGGGTCAGGGGGAGAGGGAGGTATCATAGGGTCTGCCCACACCTCGGCTTAATGTGGCTTGTGAATCCCTGGTTCCTCTTTTAATTTCCCCTCATCCATGTAGTGTTCTCCCAAACTTTCTCCTTCCTCAGCCTGGAGATTCCTGATGCTTTGAACATCCAAACAGAGCTACATCTTGAGGGCTGGCTCAAGACATTTTGCTGCCTGAGCTGAGGGACAGGATGGTGCCCTCCCACAAGGAACATACAGAAGCCACTTGGGCTGGCAGTTGAATCTTACTCCAGTGCTGATGAAAGACTAGTGTCTTCCATGGCACTTGAGGGCAGCAGGCTAGGCTAGAAGTGAACAGGGCAGCTGATGCAGCTGCCTCACTCTGTCTCACCGTAGGGCCGGCCCTGAATTATCATTTGGATCAAGAGCACAGTGGACCTACTGCCTGGTGGCGTCTCAGGGCAGTAGCCAGGGCAGTCCCACCTCCAGCTCCAGCATTTCGGCCCATGTGCAAAAGCTCGGGCGCACCTCCCTGCCTTTCTTTGGCCAGCTCGGGACTCTACATTCAGAGCAACCACTGCTAATAGTAACAATTCAATGGGCTGGGGTATTAGGCATATGTGCCCCAGCCCTTTTACATTAAAAAGAAAGCCAGAGAGGGGGAGAAGAAGAATACTGGCCTGAGTTTATAACATTGGTATCATTATGGTGAGCGATAGGCAAAACATAACTACAACAGCATTAAGGCAGAGATTTCTTTTTTCATTTCTATGTTTCTGCTACTTTTTCTTTCCCATCTTTGCTTTGCTCCTGCTTCTGGTTTTATTTTTTTTTTATGTCCTCTACTCTGAGTTGATGAAGGGAATGTACTCAGATGAAGGTGATGGCTGACTGGCAAAGAACCCTGTGTGAGAGGCATGGAAGGGAAGATATCCCACGGTGGTGGGGCTGGGGGAAGAAAGCGAAGCTCCCAGATGACAGCTGGGAGGGTCCAACTCTTTCTTTGTGAGACGAGGATTAAGATCCACCTAGGACAGGGGTCAGCAACCCGCGGCTCCGGAGCCGTATGTGGCTCTTTTACACCTTTGCCGCGGCTCTGGGGCAGATACTAGCGAGGGGAGGAGGCGCATTGTGCGCCCCGACACTCCCCACTGTGGCGGGCGCTGTACTGGCTGTGACGTCGCATGGGGGCGACTGGCTGTGACGTCCCGACGTCACCTTCCCACCCGCTGTCAGATCGGAGGGCAGCGGAGCGCATGCAATGGTTTTGCGGCTCCCAGGTTTTTTTTCTTTGGAAACGGGTCCAAGTGGCTCTTTTTGTCTTAAAGGTTGCAGACCCCTGACCTAGGAGAGAGGACTTTGCATTCTTCTTCCTCTTCCTTTTTCTGTTTTTGCTTAGATTAGGTTTTGTTCATTGTATTGTATGGCAAAAAGCCTTAATAAAACATTACAAATACATTTTTTAAAAAACCACACAGAAAGCCATTGCTTTGCCCTCTAGATGTTTTGGGTGACATCTCCCATCATCCCTGACTATTGGCTATGGTAGCTGGGGCTGAAGGTAGTTGTCGCCCAAAACATCAGGGAGAGACCATATTTTGCTCTGTTTTTCAAAATCAGTCTCCATATGCAGATACACACACACACACACACACATATATATACCACCTACCAAACACACACTCGAATTAGAGAGCCATTCTACGAATTAAACAGGTGGGCAGAGAAGATTAAGCAGATTCTGGGATGTACCACTTGAGAGAGGGGGGTGCATGAGCGAGAGAGAGTTCTCATTAGGTAAACTAGTACGTTTGGAAGAGGGCTGCTAAAATCCCTCCCCTCCCTGATTTTGGGCTACTTTACTTACTTGAGGGATGAATAAATATGATCCCAGCACACACCTCTGACTTCCCTCCCCTACCTCAGCCTATGGCCTCACGCTGTATCTCTTGGACCTGGCCTATGTATGTAGCAGAATGGACTGCACAGCATGTCAGGCAAAGAAACATGATTGCTGAATGCCCCTCAAAGAGAAGCAAAACTAAACCTCAAGTAGAAACTAGCACACCACAGAGAAAGGCTGCAGCCTAGCCCTGTTGTGATAGGCTTGCTCCTTATAAGGTGGTTATTTTGGCAGCTTTTGGGATCTTCCTTTCCCCCCTCCACCCCAGCACAGAGGAGGCTATTGATGCTCATGGCTCTTCACCTTTAGAGATGCAGTCCCTTCTACCGTTTCATTCATGGGGATGGTCTGGTCTACTTACGTCGCAGAATCAAGTGGAAATAAGATTCTAATATTTCTGAAGGAGAGTCTCCACCCCCATCGTTCTAACCGGACACTGAGGTCCAGCTCCAAGGGCCTTCTGGTGGTTCCCTCACTGTGAGAAGCCAAGTTATATGGAACCAGGCAGAGGGCCTTCTTGGTAGTGGCACCCACCCTGTGGAACACCCTCCCACCAGTTGTCAAAGAGAACAACAACTACCAGACTTTTAGAAGGCATCTGAAGGCAGCCCTGTTTAGGGAAGCTTTTAATGTTTGATGCATTACCCAGAGTGACTGAGGAGGCCCGGCCAGATGGGCGGGTTATAAAGAATGAATTATTTATTTATTTATTTATATTATTATTGTTGTTGTTGTTGTTGTTGTTGTTGTAGGATGGAGTGTTCATGTGTAAATATGCACCTGCAGTTCCCTGCAGGATTGGGAGCAAGCTGGAGCGCTCCTGTTCAGAATGCAAGCCAGCCAGCCATGCTCTTTTCCAGAACACTCCATTCCATGTCCTCCCCCCTCTGCCTGCTTTCCCATTCCACATGCAGCTGCTGGGTGACCTTGGGCCAGTCACACTTCTCTGAAGTCTCTCAGCCCCACTCACCTCACAGAGTGTTTGTTGTGGGGGAGGAAGGGAAAGGAGAATGTTAGCCGCATTGAGACTCCTTCGGGTAGTGATAAAGCGGGATATCAAATCCAAACTCTCCTTTCTTCTCTTGAAACATTTTTTTAAAAACCCTATACAGGGCTGCCTTCAGATGTCTTTCTAAAAGCTGCATAGTTACTTATCTCCTTGGCTTGGGGGTCACATAATTACATGCGCTCCAACATTTCTCTGATGAAAATAGGGACGTCCTAAGGGAAAGTGGGACATTCCGGGATCAAATCAGAAACCAGGTCGGCTTCTGTAAACCCGGGACTGTCCCTGGAAAATAGGGGCGCTTGGATGGGCCGTGGAATAGAATCCCTCAGTGCTAATACGGACACAGCTGCTCACAGACGGTGTTGCTTTTTCCCACTGAGAGGAGCGATGTGCGCAGCCTCTTATGCAGAAACATATCAAAGGAATTTTTTTTAAAGTAGCAAAACAAAAGAAAAGAGTCTTACCACGTCGGTACTGAGCCATTCCTCAATGTCATCCATGACAGAGGACTGTGTGACGGGAATCTAGGGAGTGCAGCAAAGAGATAGAGCGAGGCAGGCAAAAAAATAAAACAAGGACACCACACATCCACAATCATGGCCACAGAATGAGAGGGAAAGAGGAAAGGGAAAAAAAAGAGGGTTGGGGGTTGGAGAAAAAAAACATACGCTGTGTGAGATGTATCACCGCTGTGAAGAATTGCAATACAACAACAACAACAACACCACAAATAAAGCAACGAGCGAAGCAAGAAAACATCTTGGCAAACAAAAAAGGTTGCGATGAGTGAAATGGCCGGGGTCTGGCTGTGTATCTGAGGGGAAGGGCCAGCATGGCTCAGAGTTTGAAGGACCTGGTTCTCTTAAGGCTGGAATATTAGATACGGCTGGATAGGAGGTGAAACCCAAAACATGAAAGAAAGAGGTATCCATGACATGCCCCATTGCTCACCGCAAGAGATCAAGAAATGGAGACGGGAGAAATGAGTTGCACCAATGACGGGGGAGCCTGATCTGCAGCTGCAAGGCTTGGGTCTGGTTCAGAAGCAACATGAAAACGTGGCTTAGCATTACGGGGATGAGGTTTGCACACTCCTTCCTCCGTGCATGGAAGGAGGCGGCCGGCAATTTCTTCTGCAGAACTAAGCCTCCGTTCGTTGCTGAGAATTTGCCTTGCGTGCAGAAGGTCGCAGGTTCAGTTCCTAGCATTTCCAGGTAGGGCTAGGAAAGACTCCTGCCTGAAGCCCCAGAGAGCTTCTGCCGGTTACAGGTGGGCTAGTAGCTTAATAGAAATGTGTTTTGTTTAAAAGGCTGGGATAAGAGGGGAAATGGCAAATTTGCAGGTCTTCCAAAATTTCCAAATCGGGGATAATAATGGATAGATCTTTTTAGGAACGAATGCCTGGGGCTTCATTGGCAAGATGGACCAGCTGAGGAAGGGGCATAGGGTGGGGAGAGAAGAGACAAGAATAGCAATAGGACTCCCCCCCCCCCAGTTTTTGAAATGCATTAGGTCCAATATTCAAGCCTTATAGAGACAGGAATTATTGGAATCCCTTATGAATCCCAGTGGGGGAATAGGAGAAGCAGGCGTGAGGTGAGGAACTAAAATAGATGGAGGAATCCACCAACATTTCTTAGCTCAGCTGAGCCTTTACTTAACACTGTCCCTTAGTTGGATTTTTGATATTTAATGCTACTAAACTTAACTATGGCTCCAAGTGTTTTTGTGGTATTCATATTGCTGAAGTAGTATTTTTCTGCATAAGCAAAGGCTCCTAGTGCTATATTGCACTAGGATGGAAAGCTAGAACCGAAAGCTATGGGGGTACCTCTGCTAGTCATTGTGTCCATGTTTGCAAATGTCCCAGAGGGATGATTCAGGCTGCAATCCCACACCAAATGACCTGGAAGTAAGCCCCGTCAAATTCAATGAGGCTTACGTCTGAGTCAACATGGGTAGGACTGCAGGCACCAGCGTCACACTTCCCGGTGCTATCCCTGACCTGCAATGGAGGAGAGCGCACTGCCATTTTCTCACTGGGGCTGCCATTAGACATTGGGCGGCTGGGATTTTTTCCAGCTCTGTTTTGGAGAGGAATAAACCACTTGGAAACCAGTTTGGCATATAAGCTGCCTAATAATGATGCTAATAAAATCATGTGAATTGAGTAAATCCATAGAGGACAATATCAGATTTTTAAAAATATATATCCAAAGGGGTTCTTTTAGACAAGTGGAACGTCCAACTTTGCACCTTTTCCACGGAAAAGGCTACAACTCTGTGGCTGAGAGCATAGGTTCAATCCTTGCATCTCCAGTAGGGCTGAGAATGCTCCCTGCTTGTGATCCTGAGAGCCAGTGCCAAAGTAAACAATGCTGAGCTAGACTGGTGAAGTCCATGTTCTATGCAGACAAAAAACCTCTGCATGTCTCTCACAGAACTTCCATGGGCTACAAAGGATTTTTGGGTCCTATGTTTCAGGGTACATAGGCAGCTCAAACAGAACAGGGCCCAGGCCTCTGGAGTGTCCTGGTCACCCTGTAGGACCTCACAAGTATTCACCAAAATCTACTCAAAACTTTCTTGTGGCTGAACATTGCAGGGAAAATGGGAAAAGCTGGTCTTTAGGAATAATGGGGATCTCCAAAAACCCCCACAGCTTTGAAAACAGCTGCTTGAGATCACCAGAGTCAGACTGGATAAGCTGTCAGCTTCAACATGGACCCAATGAAGAATAAGTTATGAACCCCAGAGGAGATGATGGATAACTCCCAAACATTTAAGGGCCAAATGTTTCCTGCGATTCCACTGCAGATTAGCCATCCTCTTCACTGTAACACTTGAAAGGCACTTTGGTTTCAAAATATGCAGTAGCCGAGCATGTGATGTTTCATCATGCAACCCAACACTTCTCTTTAAGAGAACCATGAAACAGGGCTCTGTGAATTCCACCGCTCCGGAGTAGAACCGTGGCCATTTAAAAAGCAAAGCATGCAAGCTTCTAGTCCTTGAGAATAAAGAGAAGATACCACTGAGCCCAGGCCTCTCCGGTGAAATTTCCTGGGCTTGGGAGTGGAGATGTGCTCTGCCAGGTGGAATTTGCTTCCGTAAGATGTAGCAAGGGCTGCTAACTTAAGATGGCTTTGGAAAAGGATGACAGGGCTATGGCTATGGCTATGGTTTACCTCAACTGTCAGAGGTAGGATGCCTCTGAAAATTTGCTAGGAATCGCAAGTGGGGAGAGTGCTGATGTGCTCAGGTCCTGCTGATGTGCTTGCCAGAGGCATCTGTAAGAGCAGGATGCAGGACTAGACGGGTTATTGGTGTGATCCAGCTGCTAGTGTGACTAGCAGCAGCAGCAGCAGAACTACATAAAATATGGCAAGTACCCAAAACTAATTTTGTCTGTTTGCACAATTCATCCAGGTTGCAGGATCCAGCTTTTCCTGATGCACTTCAAAAGCAGCATCCTCATTTGGCTCTGACAACTGGCATGACCTGAAGAGGGAAGTTCTAGAAAGCATTGCACTGATATGCTGATATGGACCTACATTGGGCCAGCAAGCAACAGCTCATAAGACAGTGCCAGCCTCACCTTAAGGCTGTGCAAAAAGTAACCAAGTGGGAGTAAGCAGGAGAAAAAGAGATTGCAAGCCCAGGTTCTATCTGCTTGCACAATATAAATAACATGCATACATAGCAGTGATTCTAATACGGATTTGGTTACAAGCCTGACACTCTCCTCATCCTTCCAACAGGTTGTATCATTCCCTCTAAAGTTTTGGTTTTTTAAAAACATTCATTCACTGTCATTTTAATCGACAGCTACTTTAAAGGAATTCCAAACCTGGTCCAGATATAGGGAGGTGGGTATGAGACACCACGGCTGCCAGCTACTCAGTGCTGTGCAGAGTTGGCTTGCATTGCAAACTCACAGGACTGGCTTTTCTCCAAACTCAACCCTGGAAAGGGAACAATTTGTCTCGAACGAAATGTGGCAAAGGCACTCCCACCACTTTAATAGTGCTATTGTCCTGTGCAGATCTGGGGTTGCAAAACAGGGTCAAGATGCAGTATCAGATATTTGCTGGTCGTAACCACGGCTTGCCAATTCAGACATCGTGCCAAGCCGTTGTTGACACAATGGTTTTGGATTCTGGCTCCATGGCCAAGTGCAAGCCATGGTGTGCCAGTTCAGATCTCACAGCAAACTATGCTTAAGCTTCCCAACATCTGGTTTGCGATGAGGTCTATAATGAACCACCATATGGGATAAAACCAGGGACGTGAATTCTAGTATAGTTTGGTGGAATGAAATGGCACCAAAAACTGAAGTTTACAAAGGTGAGGGGAATGCATTCTTTTTAATTTCTTTGGCGAAGTCTGATTTTAGAAGAGGGTATTTTGAGCAACATTTCTGGTCCAAGAGACAATATTCAGCGGGGCGTCCCTCTGGTCCTCTAGCCCCTTTCAGGTGACACTGACAGAAGGGAGCATTAAAATAAAAATTTTTTTGCTTTACCTCAGTAGAAAACCATGCCATACCTGAGTAGAACCATCTGTACTAGGCCACTTGTAACTCCTGCAGTTTGTCAGTTCTGTTAAATACTCTATTAATGGACACAGTTAAGAGCTACCGCTAATTCAGACAGAAAACTGGGTTACGGATTAGTTAGATTCTAAAGGGATGCCAAATACATCCGTATTAAAAACAAACAAGGTTAAAATGCCCTGTAAGGGGGAATAAACCAGTCCCCTACAGTTGTTATGGCCGACACAAAGGCTGCAGTATCCTTTTCCCCAAAGTGAACAAACACAAGCCAGCAGCAAATATGGGCAGGGCAGGAGGAAGAGTTTTGTACTCCCCCCCCCCATCAATTTTAAATGGCAGCAGAGAAAGCGAGAAAAACATATCCTGGGCTTCTCTGACCCTTGGGAACAGCACCCAAGCAGAACCAAATTGGAGGATGAGTGACAATAGGGGAGAGTTGGAAAACAGACTCCCTAAACACACCTGATGTTTGTAAGAGAAGGACTGAGGTATGGAATTGCTCTCTGCTTCCTTCTTCTGCATCTTCCCATGCACCCACCCATCTCCCTGGGCAGGAAAAGGGAGGCGCTGTCGCCTTTTGAGAATAGAAGAGAATCAAATCCTAGAATTGGAAGGACCACAACCTGCAATGCAGGAATCTTTGGCCCAATGTGGAGCTTGAACCCGCAGCCCTCAGTTTAAGAGTCTCATGCTCTACCAACTGAGCTATCCCAGAGGCATCAGGATACAGAGGGTTGCACATACCCTCTTTGAATGGCTGAATTTGTCAATTTTGGTTTCACTCAGTTTATCATCTTTAGGATCTTAAGTTCAGTTCTCCACATTGCCACACCAGTTTGCAATTCGTTAAAAGCCCTCATTGGAATTCACCGGCTTGTTTGTGCAAACATCTTGTGTGCTCCCCCCTTTTTTTTTTTTTGCAAAGCACTGTTGCCTAATATAATGCATTTTTTTCCATGTTATTATGACAAATACATCCATTTTTTATGGACACTTTACCACATTTTTGCTGCATTTTTGCACACATTACCTGGCTGGAGAGCTGCGTTGTGCAATTTGGAAAAGTGCAAATTTGGAAGGACGGCTGCGTTTTGCTTTGTGCATTTGTTTCGAAAAGTATAAATTAGGCTTTGCCTTTAAATGTTAACTGAATCTAGTTTCTCCCCTCATTCCTAAGTTGTTCACCAACAGTGATTGTTCTCCTCTCCTTGGGGAGGCAGCAAAAGCTTCTGTAACACTGTGATACTCTGTTTTGCCTCTCAGTTGGGTGCACTCCCCTGCCCTCAACCCTACTTAGCCCCACATCTTATCTCTTGCAAGGCAGCTGAGTTGCAACTCTAAGGAAAGGGAACTCTAAAGCAGAGATGAAGAACCCATGGCTCTCTAGATGTTGCAAGAATACAAATCTCTGACCACTCGCTTCACTGCTTGGAACTGATGGGAGCTGTAGTCCAAACACCCTCCCCGCACTCTAGAGTTACAGCTTGGCACCCTTTCCTTCTTACTCCTCAGTTCAGGGCACATTCAACATAAGCGAGGGTGCAAGGTCCTTCAAAGCTTTTCCTGCTTGGCTCCCATTGTGGCACCGGGACTGCAGAGCTGAAGGAAAACACACATTTGGCCTCTGTGTGGTGTAGTGGTTAAGAGCGATAGTCACGTAATCTGGGGAACCGGGTTCGCGTCTCCGCTCCTCCACATGCAGCTGCTGGGTGACCTTGGGCCAGTCACACTTCTTTGAAGTCTCTCAGCCCCACTCACCTCACAGAGTGTTTGTTGTGGGGGAGGAAGGAAAAGGAGAATGTTAGCCGCTTTGAGACTCCTGAAGGGGAGTGAAAGGCGGGATATCAAATCCAAACTCTGCCAGGATGGGTCAAGGGCGCTGTCTTCACTATACAGTATAAAACTGTCACCCTGCTTGGATACTTTGCTCTCAGGATGCCATGTTTTCCGAGGAGCTAAGGGGGATTAGGGACGCAGGTGGCGCTGTGGGTTAAACTACAGAGCCTAGGACTTGCTGATCGGAAGGTCGGCGGTTCGAATCCCCGCGACGGGGAAAGCTCCCATTGCTCGGTCCCTGCTCCTGCCAACCTAGCAGTTCGAAAGCACGTCAAAGTGCAAGTAGATAAATAGGTACCGCTCCGGCGGGAAGGTAAACGGCATTTCCATGTGCTGCTCTGGTTCGCCAGAAGCGGCTTAGTCATGCTGGCCACATGACCAGGAAGCTGTATAACGGCTCCCTTGGCCAGTAAAGCGAGATGAGCACCGCAACCCCAGAGTCGGCCACGACTGGAACTAATGGTCAGGGGTTCCTTTACCTTTAAGGGGGATTATGGAAGTACAGTATATTTCAAGTCCCCATGGACGTAAGACTACATTTAGCCTTAGCTAGTAATATGCTTTCACCAAGAGAAAAATCACCCAAGGGGTATATCTACACTAGAATGGCTATATAAGACTTTGACTGTCATAGCTCCACCCCATCACAGCCCAAGAACTCTGGGAATTGTAGTGCAGAAAGGGTGCTGGGGTGCAGAGCTCTTAAGTTCCCCTCTGACAACTACAGTTCCCAAGATTCCCTGGAGAAGAGGAAATGGCTCAACCATCAATTCCCAGATGCAGCACAGCATAGAAGCTCTGCTCTCTGCTCTTCAATGAGGCCTTTGGGTGACTAATATTCTACAGCCTTTTAAATGGGTTTATTTGGGGGGGGCTATTTTGTTGTTGTTTTTTGTTTTAACTATTTATTTGTGATTTTATCTTGTGTTTTTATCTTGTGAACCACCCTGAGATCTTTGGATGAAGGGTGGCATATAAATCTAATAAATTTATAATAAATTAAAAAAAAAATAAGAGGATGCCCCAACAACAGATTTGCATTTATGTTCAGCCATATTTAGTGCAGCAGATACACTCCCCTGTTTTGCAGGAAACCCACTTGGAAGCCTCTTGCAAAACAATACACTTTTTCTGTTTCCGCTGCTCCAGAACTCTTGCCGAGAGAAAATTCAGGGAAGCGTTGAACAGTGCAATATGATCTGAGCTTCTGGTCATACTGCTTAGTGCTGCAGGGGCAGGCTATTAAACTTATTTTATTTTATTTTTTGCAAAACGAACACAAACCCTCCCCATTTTAACGAGCAGAACTTGTGTTTTGGAAGAAATGTGGATACTGCACATATATATTTCTCTCTTTTTAAAATTGGGACAGTGAAAGGAACTGGAGAGGTCCATGTGAGTTTTGGAAACAAACATGGTAACATACATGTTTCTCCGCTGCCACGCATCCCTATTGAAAACTATCTTTCCCCAGGTCTCCTAACCTTGGCCAGTGGTCCCACTTCCCCTCCCCTTCACAGGTGGGGACTCACCTCCTTGCACTGTCCAATTTGCGTTCTTTCAACAGGATGAGTGACAGGTAAACAGAGGATGGTTATGCTATTTAGAGGAGGAGATGGGGGTGAGGACAACAAGGGGGTGGGGCGTCACTCAACTGGCGAAATCCTCCTCACCATTCCTTGCGTCATTAGCCACTTGTCTATGGGCTCCATGTCTGAACTGCCACTTTTACCTCTCCTCTGTGTTGAGAACAGAAATTCCCATTAAAAAGTCAAAAGGTGTGCTGGGGGTGGGGGTGGGGACACAGGGAGACGGCAAAGCAACAGCGAGATGGAGAGATTACAACATTTCCTAAAGACGAGCCCATAACCTCCAGGCTTCAGATACCACTTCACCCATCCCAGGTCTGTAAATTATTACTCACCTGTGGCAAGTAAAAACAAAAACCAACAACCCGAAGCAAACCAACTTTCAGATCGTCAAACGGAAAATTTATTGGAAGGAAAGGTAGATCATTTCTGAAACACACCTTGCTTTCTGATAGGTGAAGGCATACAAGCTGGCAAAATTTGTGTGTGTGTTGTGTGTGTGGATTTGATTTGCAAGGAAGTCTCATGCCTCTTCCCAAGTGACAATCTCAGTTTTCTGGCCAGCAAAACTACTGTGAACTGAGAGTACTGGAGGTATTTGAGGGCTTTTCCCCCTCGCGGCGAAACTGCCCAAGCGAAGTGGGGCTTGTGGCTGTCTGAGTTACCCTCGGAGACCTTTTCCTAGGGCACTGCTTTCAGCAAAAACGAGCTGCCCAGGAACACTCTTTCTCTCTTTTGAAGAACATCAATATACTTCTCCCACCGCCCTTGCTTAAGAGTCCGGGAGCAGCGCTTCACGCTGCCCGACCTCTTTTGAAGCAAGCGGCTAGGGCTTTCTCGCAGCGCTGCTTCAAGGGTCCGGACCCCTTTTGAAGCAAGCGGCTGCGGGGAGATCGCTTTTCTCCGCAGCCGCTTCCTTCAAAAGAGGTCCCGGACCCCTTTTGAAGCAAGCGGCTGCGGGGAGATCGCTTTTCTCCGCAGCCGCTTCCTTCAAAAGAGGTCCCGGACCCCTTTTGAAGCAAGCGGCTGCGGGGAGATCGCTTCTCTACACAGCCGCTTGCTTCAAAAGAGGTCCCGGACCTCTTTTGAAGCAAGCGGCTGCGGGGAGATCGCTTCTCTACGCAGCCGCTTGCTTCAAAAGAGGTCCCGGACCCCTTTTGAAGCAAGCGGCTGCGAGGAGATCGCTTCTCTCCGCAGCCGCTTCCTTCAAAAGAGGTCCCGGACCCCTTTTGAAGCAAGCGGCTGCGGGGAGATCGCTTTTCTAGAAAAGTCAGGAAGCAGTTCCTCCTTGCATCCCTATCCAAACCAACAGGCAATGTACCGTATTTTTCGCTCTATAACACGCAGTTTTTTCCTCCTGGAAAGTAAGGGGAAATGTCTGTGCGTGTTATGGAGCGAATGCCTACAGATGGCAGGGGAATCCGCTGCAGTTGTGAGCAGTCCGTGGCTCTCTTTGAAACTGCAAAGCGGGTGTAAGCGGCTCCTGTCAGCGAGCCGAGCCGGGCAGGAGGGAGAGAAGCAGAGCGGGGTTGGTTGCTTTAAAACAACCCCGTGCTCTATGTCCCTCTCTCTTCTCCACTGAGCTGCTAAGTAGCAGCAAAGCTTTTCAGCCAGCCTAGCCGGGAGGAGGGAGAGAAGCAGATCGGGGCTGGTTGCTTTAAAACAGCCCCGTGCTCTATGTCCCTGCCTGCAGTTTTTTGCTGTCCGATTTTGGATCAGCCACTGTAGGGGCTGTGTGTGTGTGTGTGTGTGTGTGTGTGTGTGCTTGAGCTATCGTTCTCCTCCTCCTCCTTCCTGTTCACTCTCACAGCGCCCCAGCGCTCTCCTGCGACTTTAGGAGTGATACTCTGTGTGTCTCTCTGTGTGTGAGGCATCGTTCTCCTTCTCTTGCTTCCCCTTCACTCTCCCAGCGCCCCTGCTACTTCCAGCGCCCCTGCGACTTTAGGATTGATACTGTGTGTGTGTGTGAGAGAGAGAGAGAGGGGGGGGGATTGTTCTCCTTCTCTTGCTTCCCACTCCCAGCGCCCCTGCGCTCTCCTGCGACTTTAGGATTGATACTGTTTGTGTGTGTGTGTGTGTGTGTGTGTGTGTCTGTGTGTGTGTGTGTGTGTGAGGCATCGTTCTCCTCTTGCTTCCCCTTCACTCTCCCAGCGCCCCTGCGCTCTCCTGCGACTTTAGGATTGATACTGTGTGTGTGAGAGAGGGGGGGGATCGTTCTCCTTCTCTTGCTTCCCACTCCCAGCGCCCCTGCGCTCTCCTGCGACTTTAGGATTGATACTCTGTGTGTGTGTGTGTGAGAGAGAGAGGGGGGGGATCGTTCTCCTTCTCTTGCTTCCCACTCCCAGCGCCCCTGCCTCTCCTGCGACTTTAGGATTGATACTGTGTGTGTGTGTGTGTGTGTGTGTGTGTGTGTCTGTGTGTGTGTGTGTGTGTGTGAGGCATCGTTCTCCTCTTGCTTCCCCTTCACTCTCCCAGCGCCCCTGCGCTCTCCTGCGACTTTAGGATTGATACTGTGTGTGTGTGTGAGAGAGAGAGAGGGGGGGATCGTTCTCCTTCTCTTGCTTCCCACTCCCAGCGCCCCTGCGCTCTCCTGCGACTTTAGGATTGATACTCTGTGTGTGTGTGTGTGTGTGTGTGTGTCTGTGTGTGAGAGGGATTGTTCTCCTCCTCCTGCTTCCTGTTCACTCCCCCAGTGCCCCTGCGACTTTAGGGCGACTTTAGCATGGATCCACATGGATCCTCAGGATTTTTGCATTGGGCTACCCCAAACTCACCGTCAGATCACATGTCTGTGGCCACAGCATGAACCACAAAAATCATACATCCACTGTTTTGTTTAGAATATTTTTTTCTTGTTTTCCTCCTCTAAAAACTACGTGCGTGTTATGGTCTGGTGCGTGTTATAGAGCGAAAAATACGGTAAACTCCCTGCACCGGCTTCAATTATTCTTGTGAAATGTATTTTCTCTCATCTGTTAGGGATCCTCCTGAATATTCTAACAAACCACTGATGACAGAAAATGTGCATGCGCACGAAAGCTCATACCAATAACAAACTTAGTTGGTCTCTAAGGTGCTACTGGAAGGATTTTTTTTATTTTGTTTCGACAATGAGCTACAGTTCACCAACACTTTGAGAACACACTGGAGAGCAAAATGGCCAGAAGATACCTTGGCAGGAGGGCGAAGTCTGAAAACATGCATGTCTTTGCACACCTTGACCCTGTTGGGTTAACTCAGAGGAGCCCTTTGAACTGACAGCGCTGTAGGCTGATAACAGCTACACTGATGGGGGAAAGACAAGCAGCCCAGGGAACCAAAGCATGAATCAAACAGGAGCGCAGGTTAATAGAGAAGGATGCTCATCCAGCTGCAAGGTGTGAGATTTCTCAGAATTATTATTTATTACATTTCTAGCCTGTCTTTCCTCCCAAAGGAGCCCGACATCGAAGCGTTATGGCAATGCAATTTGAATTAAAGGAAAAACAAACTTAAAATGCTTAAAAACAATTCATAAACCATCTAAACCATCAGCAGCTGATTTCGAGGTTGCCACAGCCAGTCTATTTCAACCACCAAATTTGCTGGGTAAGCAGGAAGGTTTTTAAATCTTTCCTGAAAGTCAATAAGGGTAGAAATAGAAACACCTCGCTAGGGAAGGCATTCCAGAAACGAAGAACTGCCGCTGAGAAGGACTTGTTCACAGGTCAGTGGCAGAGGTGGCCCCAGCAACAGGGGCCTCCCCTGATGATCACAAGGCTCGAGATGGCTGAAACTGGGGGAGTTGCTCATTTAGGTACTTGCCACACCTTGAATTGGGCTTGGCAATCCACCAGCATTTAGCACAGAGCTGTTGGGACTGGTGACTCATGGGCCCATCAGGCTGCAGCTCTTACCAACCTGGCAGCCACATTCTGCACTAGCTGCAACCTCCAGACTGTCTTCAAGGGAAGCCCCACAAATAGAGCATTGCAGCAGTCTAATCAGGATGTCACTAGAGCATGGGCAACTGGGGCCAGGCTATCCTGGTCTGAGAATGGCCATAGCTGGTGACCAGCATAAGTTGAGCTTAAGTACACCAGAAGCCACCTGGCAAGTCAGTGACAAATCAGAATCCAGAAGCACTCCCAGACTACGAACCTATTCCATCAAGGGCAGTGCAACCCCTCCCAAAACAGTTTGTACACCTAATTCACAGACACAGGAATTGCCCATCATCTCTGTCTTATCAGGATTCAGCCTAGTTTGGGCTCCCAGCCAGCCTTTCACTGCTTCCAGAAATTATAAACTGCTTGATCACAAAGGTTCCCCAAGTGGTGTACAAATAAAAATAAAAGGTTGAAGAACACTGACTACTACATTCTAGAATATGCTTTGCCTATGCCAGTCAGAAATGCTTCCAGACTCCACTTGTTTACTATTCATTCATTGATTCGATAGAATAATTTATACCCCGTCTTTCAGGATACATATCCTTCCAAGGTCGCCTGTGAGAAACGTTAACCTGATTCAAAAACAAAACCTGACACATATTTTACTGGAGTGTGAGAATACAAGATGAAGTAAACCCGTATATGATACTGGAGGAAATATAAATGGAACAATCTCTGAAAAAAGTATTATGCTTATTATTTCTATATGTATGCTAGTGGTGATATTCATATCTATACATTGTATTATAGGTTATTTATCTAAATAAAAATCCCTAAAGTGATTTGGTTGGATTTGTAATAATTTGGAAAATTAATAAAAATAATTGGGAAAACCCTTAAAGTAACATCATCTACATATAACATTTATTTTATTTGCTTAAGGGGGGAGTGGGAATCCCCGGCCACTTAGTATCAAGATCCTTGGCACAGAGCAGTTGGTGACAAATGGGCCTGGGGTGGGCAGGAGTGAGAAAATAGACCTTGAGCATCCTGTGAGATGTTCTTTACCTGCCTCTTGGGATCCTTCCCATAGGACCCCTTGTTGCTGTGGCCAGGTGGTAAAATTGAGGAGAAGTCCAGTTTCTTCCAGTCTCACCTCTATTTTTCCGCAGCAGCTTCCCTCCATTTATCATCATGCCCCACAGCTCTTCCCTCTCCTACACAAACACTCAGACTTCAGGATGCCTCCAGGAAGGCCATGCCCCCACCCCGCACCCGGAGTGCAAGGAAACCCCTGGAGAAGGCCAGGTCGAATGCTGCTGCAATGTATGTGCTCCCTTGCGCCCCCAAGAGGACAGAACACTAAAGATGAGAAGGTGAGTTCAAAGGACAAATGTTGCCACCCAAAGGATGGGAAGGCAAATGGGATGGAATCCACAGAGAGATCGGGATTCCTCATCCAGAGAGGTGAATGGGGAGAGAATCACTGCCCCCACCAAAAAGAAAAATAGAGGGCTGTCTTATGTGAAGACCATTCATGCTCCCAGTTCAGATCACTGGAAAGAAGCAGGTTTTAGACAGTTACCTGGACCGACCACAAGTTATAATTTATATTTATCCATACAAAGGCAGAGTATCTAAGAGTTGGGCTTGCTTTCTGAGTCAGCGTTCAGTGTGCTGCTAACAGACGTAACTGGGGGGAAACAGGCAATCTTCTAGATAAACGTCAGGCTAGATACCTGTCAATTCTCTCCAGAAATTAACATGAAGTATTCAAACCTTAGACCACTGACCACACGTGCTTCACAGCTCTTTTCTGCAATTTGAAGCTGGACGCACACACAAAATTTCAGGATAGGACTGAAGGAAACACATGAGTCGCATTCAACGCTCTCAGCAAAGCTTGAGAGCAATTCCCCCCCCCTTTGTCTGCAATGCAACAGGGCAGAGAAGCGACTTACCCCTCCTGCGTTGTGTTTCCGAACATCCAGGGCAGATGCCAGTCCTTTAACAGCCTGGGGGTCTTCATACGTTACGCTGAAACAGAAGAGGGGCAATGAGCATTGCAAATACCCAGGAAGCAGCAAATGCAAAAATAAGAACGGAAGACATCAGGAATGTCATCTCTAAATCCCAAGAGTGTTGCCAGGTGCCTCCATATAACAGCTGCACACTGAGGAGCAAAATATTCTCCTTGTCAGGCCCAAATTAAGCCCCAAGCACAGTCATTTATACGTTTCTCTTGTCATTTGTTCTTTTCAAAAACAAACAGCAGCCTCAGGCTTGAGCAGCTGGTCCTACGTTTTCAAGCATTGGCTGTTTTTAATGCTTTTTTTAAAATGAAAAAGTGGTTGCCCTCTAGAGTCCCCTTCCCTTTCCCTCTGTAGCTAGTAGCCTTTCTCCACCTGAAGAAATTGAGGGCAAAAAATCAACAAAGCAGGTCTCTCCTCCTAGATGGAGAGGGAATTCTAAAATTGGCTTTGCCCAAGCTCCTCGCTGTCCAATTCTGCATTTTTAAATGTAAATACAATGAAAACATCACTGAAGTCCTTCCTTGTGTGCCCCCTCCATGAGAAGCCTAGAGGATGGCAACACGAGAATGGGTCTTTTCTGCAGTGGCTCCCTGTTTGTGGAATGCTCTTCCCAAGGAGATTCACCTGGCATCTTCATTACATATTTTAGGTGCCAGGCAAAGATATTCCTCTGCTCCCAGGCCTTTGGCTAATTCAACAATCTATGGCCTTTTAAACTGTGAGGGTAGCTGCTGCTTTTGTTTATTACTATGTTATGTACATTTGTGTTTTTATATTGTGACCCTCCCATGAAGAGTGGTACATAAATTTACTATATAAAACAAATAACAAATGAATACATCATGAGTGGGGAAACTTTTGTCCTTGCAGGTGCTGTTGAACTGCAACTCCCATCAGCACCTGCAAGCATGGAGAGTGGCCAGGGATAATGGAGTGAAGAACCTTTGGAGGTACAAAGGTTCCTCACACCAGATTTAAGGGTCAATACCAGTGCCTGGAAACCAACAGGTAACCCATGAAGATGGTATGAGTTGTATGTTCTGGTCCCTGAGCCCCAGCCCAAACCCTGGCAGTACTGGTTTCCAGGGCGGCTTTAGGGCAGCCTAACATACAAGAGCATTACAGTCATTTAAGCTAGGATAAAATTAGGGTAGGAGGTTTAATACAGGAATCATAGGGATGTAGAAAACGGCCTTACACCAGATCTGACCACATTTGCCCATCTAGTTCAGTATTGTTTACGCTAACTGGCAATAGCTCTCTATAGAGTTTCAGACACAGGTCTCTCCCACTCCTCCCGGAAGATTGAGCTGAGGACCTTCTGCACATAAAACATAGGCTCTATGACTAAGTCATGGCCCACCCCTAAGGTTTCCAAAGCCAGGTCAGATGGAAGAAGGTCTTGTGCTAGAAGAGATGGCTGCTGGTGCTCCAGCCAAAGCTGGTCAAAAGTGATCCTGGATGCTACCTGTCTAGAAGAAGTATTGGATCCAGGAATAATCCCAAGCTGCAAACCTGGTTCGAGAGTGCAATCTTATCTCATGCAGGCTGCAAAACTAGCCACTGACCATCACCGAAGGGTCCTTCAGCCCAACAGCTTAGCGCGCGCACACACACACACACACAAAAGCTAAACTGAAGCAGCATCGCAAAATGGTTGATCTCTTGTCATTAATTTCAACTCCGCTCCTGAATTCCCTACAGCCGATGGAAATCGGAGCAGGGCGGGGAAACGGTTGAAAGATTTCACAAAACCTAGGATCGCCACACAAAAAGGACAGAAGCAGTTCACTACGTGAAGACCTGCCCATTAGTCAGCCACTGGGTGGAGCTAAAGGACCAAGGACAATAACTCATCTCCTCCCTGGTGCCTGAATGCCAGGGCATCTCTGGTAGGTAGGCCTTTGGAGGCCAGGATTCAGCCAGCCAGCCTTCAGGGTAGTGGCGACAGCACACTAACCGTGCCTTCCAAAATAATGGGCTGGTGAGGGGGAGATGCTGCATTCAGTTCCCACATGGAAAAGCTGCCACCCTGACATACACACACACATACACAAAACCTGCACCCTCTGGGCATTATTGGCATGCCAGGGTTACTGTACAATGGACCAGTTCAGGCCGTTTATTAAAACAGACTCTGGATGGCCCAGGATAGGGCAAGAATTGTAAATCAATGCAACTGGGAATTCTGCAGCTAACACATGGTTGACCCTCTCTGGGCCCTTGAGGTGGGCTGCAGAATGAATGCATTGAAGGAATGAATACATGAGCTTAGCGGCTGAGAGACTGATCTGTGGAACAGGGAGCCTCTGCTCCAAATCTCACTTTGGCCATGATGCCACTGTCCTCTTGGCCTTAATTTCTGCCCCCACAGGAGCTTGGCTCAGAGCAGACTGTGTTGAGCCTGTGCCCCGCAGGGGAACTGCAGGCCTACAAGGGCCAGTTCTGAGGGCTTAAGAGAACCACCCGAGTCCCCCACACCTCCCTCCTTCAGGCCCAACATACGTCTTGCGTTGATCAGCCAGTGAACTGCCTCTCGTCTGTGCGAACATGTCGAAGTCATCCCGGGGGTTGGGGTGCTGGAGGGAGCTGAGCGTTCCGCTCACGTTGTTTGTGCCTATATCTGCAGACAAAGGAAACGATATGGCTTAGGATAGGAGTGGACAACCCTTTTCAACCCAAGGGCCATATTTAATTTAGAGCAACTTTTTATTGGGGGGGGGAGTATCACATGCTAGTGGTGGGTGAGGCAAGAGGCAAAAATGGGCAGAGCAATGAATGAGAATTTTACCTTTGAATAAAGCAGGCTACTTCCTAGACCCAAACCCCCCTCTCTGGCCTTCATTCAGGCAAGAAAGAGCCATTACTAGACTCCAAGGACACATGCCAAGCAGAAACACTCAAGAAGGCTTCAAAACAGGGCTGGCAAGGGGTGCAGCCTGTGAGAGTCTCAGCGGCCAGATAAGAGGTGTCTCGGGGGCTGCTTTTGGCCTTCACGCTTGCGATTCCCCATCCTTGCTGTAGGAGAAAGCCAGAGCCGCCACATGAGCCAGCCAGAGAGAAGAAGGCACATTTCTGCTTTGAACATTTTGCTCTGTCCCAAAGACTGGTTCTGAGCACACCTGCAGCACCCTCTCCCAACCACCGAGTCTAGAGTTGGACATACAGCTACGCATCTCCAGTGGATGGAAGCATCAGACTGAACATGGAAGCACAGCTTTGTGAAACGTCAGCTGATTGGCTACTTACGTCTCCATTGCTATACATTCTCTGGAGGGGATGATGTGAAGCAGAGAAGCTGCGGGAGGGGAGGGGATGCTTCCTCCACCAGCTACTTTGCCCTTGAAACTCCCTCTCCACCTCCCCACAGAATCCCAACATCTAGGCTTGTGTGGCAAACATAGATCTGAAGCCCTTTTTTTCAGCAAGGAGGGGGAGAGAGAAAAGACACCATGTTTCCCTAAAGGAAAGGGAGTTATTGGAGGGGAAAGGGTTAAGCACCCCATTCTTCCTCACCCTTCTGATGTCCAAGGGCGCTTTGCAACAGAGGTCACACCCAGATCATACATTTAAAGCACATGGATTCACCCAAAGACTCCTGGGAACTATAGTTTGTTAAAGATGCTAGAAACTGTAGCCCTGTGATGGGTAAACTACAGTTCCCAAGATTCTATTGGGGGGAAGCGAAGTGCCTTAACTGTATGATGCAGATGCAGCGAGGGGGGGTTAGCCTAACTCAGCACTCAGTGTATCATGACCTGCAATTTGGCTCAGACAATCCCATTTGAGCAGGATTGCTAAAAGAGCAGTAGACTCCACTCTGTTTATAAGATGGACAGATGTGGACATCATAAGCTTCCAGGACAAGATGGGGCGCCACCCTTTACTGCAAGCACTACTTGTCAGAGCCATGTGACCTTCTTCAGGAACCTGAAACATGGAAGAATCCCCAGGGGAGTGTGCTGTGGACTAGCCCAATACTACTCCAGTTCCCAGCACACCTGGAAAGGCAAAACACATACCAAGCCCAGCGAGTTGGGTCGAAAGTGTGGACGCCGGCGCCGTGTTTCCAACCATGGGGCTGACCACTGCCGGGGAGCCAGGCCCCAGGTCTATTAAGTTGTCTTCAGTCACCTCGCTGAGAACCTGTTGAGCCAATGGGGACACCAGAAGCGGTCACATAAGGTAGATGCATTCCATGGGACAGTGCTAGTCAGAGAGGCAGAGCCTTTCTTGAACACGGCTACGATTCAGGAAGCCCTACGCCAGCCTTCCCCAGCCTGCTGTCCTCCAGCTGTGGCTGGATAACAACCCCCATCATTGGGAACCATTGGACATGGTGGCTTGAGCTGGCAGAAGCACAACAATATCTGGAGGGCACCAGTTTGGGGAAGGCTGCTCTATATAAGCACAGAGAAAGCTATGGGGATCTGCCTCTCTCTGTCTCCAACACCTGGTATGGAATTTGGCTTCTTGAATTTCTAGTCCAACATTTACTTCATTTGTATAATTTATTCTGACAGCGTATCAGGAAAGCTGTCAATTTTTTAATACTATACAGGGTGGTGTTTTTTCTTTTCTTTTACTAAGTATATAGACCCTCATACTCTAAACCCATTTTTTAATTCCTCGCCGATCATACTGCAGCTAAAGAGGTCACAGTTCTGCAAAATCCTTTCCTTGTCCAAAATGCAAAGTTAACACACTTGAGTTTTCTGCTTATGGAATTTGGGTGCAGTCTAGTGGTGAAAAAAGAAGCAGTGGGGAGGAAAGGGGAGAGAGGGAGAAACAAAATGGGCAGTCTTGTTGGGATTAATGAAACACATCTGATAGCATTTGAGTTAAATGTCAGTCTTTTGCCCACACACATAGTCGTTTTACCTTCCTCTTTATGGTATGAACCATCAAACCAGAAAATGTTCAACAAACCATTGTTTCCAAACTGGGAAACTATGGATACCAGCTTTGGAACAAGCCAGGATATTAAAACATGGTTTGAAGTTGGTAAACCATGATTTCCCTGTTTGGATGGAACAAGAAACTATTATTAATTAGAGGCTTCCTGGTTTAATTGAAGCTCATGCAAAGGGAAAACACCAATTCCTATCTCAGCTTATTTTCAAGATATAACCCTTTAAACCATCTCAAGAGCTTGCTATCTGGATCATTATATTCCATTCAGTTCAGCTTGCAAGCAAACTACCTCACATTTACCTACTTAAATGCAATTGATTTAAGAGCAAAGGGGCTCCAAACTTTATCACAAATATCAGAAAGTGTTCTGGCAAGAAGGACTTTGCAGCAGCAGTAGCACCTCACTTTCAAGCCTGAGTTTTGCCAAGCCCAAGGTTAGCAATTTTGCACTGGACAATCCTGTCTTATTAGAGAATCCCAGCAGGAGGACTCACCCCATTGCTTGCGTTCTGTGCAGACCGACCCAACCTGTATCGCTCAAATCTACAGCAGACAAAAAAAGAGGAGAGATTAAAAATTAATGGCATGTAGGAATTTTGAAAGGTGCAAGTCTTATGACAAAACCCAGGATGCACAAGGAAGGATCTGTCTTTTTCCGGCTGGGGTGGTGGGAAGCCGACTGTAGCCACAGAGACCAGCATATGATCTCAAGGGCTGCTGCACTGTCACACCTCTAGGAATGGCTGGAAGCAACCCCACCCAACTCTCTCACCCCAAAACCTGCCATTACAATGCTGAAGCCCAGCCTTCTTCAACCTAGTGCCCTCCAGATGTTTAGGACTCCAGCTCCCATCAGTCTGAGCCAGTATGACTCATGGTCAGGAATGACAGGAGTCGCAGTCCAAGGTATCTGCAAGTATATTATGGGTTACAAAAGGCTGCTGATGTAGGTCAGGGATGGGTAACCTGCAGTCAGAGCCCCACAAGTGACATCTGCAGCGGGTGTTTCCAGCTCTCTTAGCCAGAATGGATCAAAGGGGGCTTCTAGCTCCATCGACAGCATGGAATCAGGACGATTGATTTGAAAGAAATATCTAACTAATGAGTAAGTGAACTAAATTAATGAATCAAATAGATGAATAAATAAATAATGATCAGGAGCTTTCAACTAAATCCTGAGGCGGAGGAAGACAATATTACAGATGACAGGAGAACACCTGGTACTGGAGTTAATAGTTAATAGCTGCAGAAACATGCTAAAGGGCAGGTAACTACAAGAAAGAAGCAGTTGGAAGGAATGACTCATGGTTTCAGTTGTCTCTATACTAATGCACAGAGTATGGGAAACAAGCAAGATGAATTTGAGCTCTTGATACAGGATACACCCTGGACTTTAAAAAGGCCGATTTTCAAAAAGTTTACGAACTACCCGGTGAAAGAAAAAGCCACACTTAAGGGTAAGCCAGCAACTATTTGAGCTTCAGAAGAAAAGCAAGCTACCTCTCGTATCGGAGGAAAACGTTGTTCAGATCGTCGTTTACATGAAGCAGCTCTTCTGTGACTTCTTCGTTGGACACCCTGGAGATGAGCTCCACGATCCTCTGCTGCATGGCTCGACAGGTGCGGTTCAGCTCCTGGGAGAAATGAATCATTGCAACTTCAAGGGGAAGAAATGATGTCCAAGAGTTACAACACAGGGGAGCTTCAGTCGTCAGAGCCCAGATATAGTGGGCCTGTTCACGCAATCCAACTACATCATACCATGCAGGGGCAGCCCTTGCCAAAAAGGTGCCCAATCACAAGTAAGGCTATCAGTGCTATTCCACAATGTAGTTGTGGTGGGGGTACGGGTCAAGGTGGGTCCATTTTCAGCAGAGACTACCCCCTTCCTAGTGTTGTAAGGAGGCAGAAAAGAAGGGCAGAATGCTCATTTGCTAGATGGTCAGAACAATCAAGAACTCCATATATTTAATTCTGGTTATAAAGCCTGTGTTATCTGTCAAGATATCTAGCGTAAGGCTCTAGGGCCAGGGTGACATAGCTCCCGCATAAATGGTCAGGTCAGGGTGTAATACTGAGCTTAAAAGTTCAACTTCTTAAACATCTTAGCAATTCTTTAAAAATTAAGTTTCTACTCCTTATGGCTGCAGATATAACTTCATGGGCAACAGGATCTTAAGGGGTGACAGTGGTGGCAAAAGACTTCCTGCGGCCTGGGCATCAGTGCCGTGAGAAGCTCTTTGCAACTCCAAGTGACTAATTAAAGAACGATAATTTAAGCTAAAATACATGCAGATTTGCATAAGGTAAATAATACCATGGAATGCAGCCTTTTAGCAACATAGAATTCTGAACCACTGCAAAATACAGCCAAGCCTCCGTAGCCAAGCCGGAGGGCTGCCACTTTTTCCCAGGGCTGCCACTTTTAGAAGCCCTGGCCTTCAATACAAGAATTAGCCTCCTCCCTCTTTGCATTCCTCCCCCTTCGGAGTGGAAATTCAGGATTAAGGACAGCCATGTAAGGATACATATCTTAAATCCATTTAATTAGTATATTGATTGTTAAATTCCACTTTGACCGGTTTAATGTTTATGTAAAAAATTATGCTGAATTTCTGGTTTTACTATGCTGCCTGTTTTGCCGTAATAATAAACATTCATTCCAGGACAGCCATGCTGCTGGTGGTATCAGCACCCCCACCCCTGAGAAGAAAAACAAGCCTCGTTGACCTGGCATCTCGCGGCCTGGCGTTCTGCACCTGGACAAGTGTCACCTCGTGCTTCCCGCAGCTGCTTTCACAGCTTGAGGGCTGAGTTTACCATGTCAGCTTTGATCCCATCAGTTCAGAGCCAGATTGTGACATTTCAGAAGGTTGGATTCAGATGGAGAAGAGAGGGCTGGCGGGGCCTGTCTGTCTCTATTCTGCTGCAGCGCCTGGTTACATGCCATTAAAAACCTTTCCTTTTTATTTAGCTGCTTATTGGGTTTCTGATGGGTAACAACTAACAACCAGGGCTTTTTTCCAGCTGGAACTCAGTTCTGGCACCTATCAGATGAGCACCACTGGAATTCTAAGACGAAGCCGTTCATGGTGAGTTCCAACACCTCTTTTTCTAGAAGAATAGCACTGCTAACCACCAACCGTCTTGCTACACCGATCCCCAGGCTGCCCCTTCCTTTTCCAGGTAAGCTTATAGAACAGAACTGATAGCTCAGTCAGTAGAGCACGATACTCTTAATCTCAGGGTCGTGAGTTCAAGCCCCATGTTGGGAAAAGATTCCTGCATTGCAGGGGGTTGGAAGAAATGGTCCCTTCCAACTCTGCATTGGCTCCCAGTACGTTTCCAAGCACAATTCAAAGTGTTGGTGCTGACCTTGAAAGTCCTAAACGGCCTCGGCCCAGTATACCTGAAGGAGCGTCTCCACCCCCATCATTCGGCCCGGACACTGAGGTCCAGCTCCGAGGGCCTTCTGGCGGTTCCCTCCCTGCGAGAAGCGAAGCTACAGGGCATCAGGCAGAGGGCCTTCTCGGTGGTGGCACCCGCCCTGTGGAACGCCCTCCCATCAGATGTCAAAGAAATAAACAACTATCTGACGTTTAGAAGACATCTGAAGGCAGACCTGTTTAGGGAAGTTTTTAATGTCTGACGTTTTAATGTATTTTTAATATTTTGTTGGAGGCTGCCCAGAGTGGCTTGGGAAACCCAGCCAGATGGGCAGGGTACAAATATATTATTATTATTATTATTATTATTATTATTATTATTATTATCATTATTATCATTATTATCACTACTACTACTACTACAATTCTATGATTCTAATAGGCAGAGGGTTGGAACACAAAACATCAGAGGAGCCCTGCTGTATCAGAACGGAGACTATTATTTAGTGAATTTATATCTCGCCCTTGCACTCTGAGGAGCCCAGAGCAGTGAACAGATACACAATTCAAAAACCAGAACAAAGCAACAATGTTCTAAAACAGTTCAAACATTCTGAAAGTGATTGCAATTAAAAAGCAGCTATAGTTAAAAACAATTATTCCATCCAGTGATTTTGAGGTTGCCGGGAACAGTCTTCTTCAGCCATGACATCCAGTCTTAGTCCTCATTAACAGCCATGGCTTCTCCCAAATCCTGGACACTGTAAAGGGTGCTGAGAGTTGCTGATAGACCCTTGAACACCCTAGCAATTCCCAGCTTTAATTGCAAAAAGCCATGGTAGTTAAAGTAGCATAGGAGTGCTTTAAAAGTATGGTGTGGCTGTGACTGAAGATGCAACGAGTTCAGCATTCTGCCTCCTATAGCAGAGGTTTCCGAAAAGTCTGCTAGCAGGACATGAAGGAAACAGCCCACCCTTACTCATGAGCCCCCCCCCCCGATCCCCAGTAACTGGTATTCAGAGAACATGGAGTCTTTGTTTAGCCACCAGGGCCAATGGCTACCTGCAAACATGTCTAAACTCATTTCAAAAGGCTTCTCAGCTAGTAGCCATCATCATACAGTGGTGCCCCGCAAGACGAATAATAATAATAATAATAATAATAATAATAATAATAATAATAATAATAATAATTTATTATTTGTACCCCACCCATCTGGCTGGGTTTCCCAAGCCACTCTGGGCGGCCTCCAACAAAATATTAAAAATACATTAAAACGTCAGACATGCCTCGCAAGACGAAAAACTCGCTAGATGAAAGGGTTTTCTGTTTTTTGAGTCCTTCCGCAAGACAAATTTCCCTATGGGCTTGCTTCACAAGACGAAACGTCTTGCGAGTTCTTGCGAGTTTGTTTCCTTTTTCTTAAAGCCGCTAAGCCGTTAATAGCCGCTAAGCCACTAAGCCGCTAATAGCCGTGCTTCGCAAGACGAAAAAACCACAAGACGAAGAGACTCGCGGAACGGATTAATTTCGTCTTGCGAGGCACCACTGTGCCTTGAGGCAGCAAACGGATGCCTGCCCTGAATCTACTATGTTAATACTTTGGTTACAACACATTTACCTGCAGTAACTCTAGGTCTGATGAATCTTCTTGCCCAGGGACCATTTCTGTGAGCATTTCAGACATCACCTTGGTGTTTCCACGAACAACGTCCAGTTCACTCCGCAGTCGTGCAATCTATTTTTTTAAAGCGGGGGGAGAGAAATGCAACCCTTTACAGAAGCTGCATGCATTTCACGGTCTGATTTTTTAAAAGGTTCTGGAGGCGGGAATGCCTTCTACAGTACCTGCTCAGACAATACCTGCTCTGTATTTGCTGTGATGGGGCCGGTCACATTCAAAGCTGGGGCCTGAGGAGCAGAGTACGCCGTTGGAGAAGGAGATGAATAGGAACTGGAGTTCATCCGCTGCTGAGACTGGGACCTGTGCATGCTGGCAGCTGGGTCAACCTCAGGAACGCTCTAGCAGAGAACAATGTGCAAACACTCAGATATACAGTATTCACCGAAAGATTGTGCTGCTGTCCTTATCATGCTCTTTAGCCCAAAGGGCAGGGAAGGCAGAAGGCAGGGATCCTCTAATTGTTTCTCCTCCTCTACATAAAAAAGGAAGAAAAGCAGACAACGCTGTCCACTTACTCTCTGCGGTGTGTGTATTGGAGACAAAGCATCCAGATCAGCCATTGGAAACTCAATCCCTTTTCTTTTGAGTTCTTCATAAATGTGGACCACCCCAGTTAGATCAGGGCTGCTTCGGAAGGCATCAGCCCAGGCCTGCAAAAGAAACAGAGAGTGTCACAAGGAACTCAATCCAGTTCCCTTCTATTGTGGAATTTGGTCTGTTATTTCTACTCTGAAGGAGACCACATTTCTTGTGAGTATATAGTACAGTTGTACCTTGGAGACTTGCGACTCGAACATTTTGTCTCCTGAACGCCGCAAACACGGAAGGAAGTGTTCCGATTTGCAAACCTTCTTTGGAACCCGAACATCTGACGCGGCTTCTGATTGTGTGCAGGAAGCTCCTGCAGCCAGTCGAAAGCCGCGCCTTGGTTGTTGAACGCTTTCAGAAGTCGGACGGACTTCTGGAACAGATTCCATTCGACAACCAAGGCACGACTGTACGGACGTGAACAATATTTCTTCAATCACATTGTCTCAGGGCTGTATGGTGACTGTAGGAGGGGTGAAAGCCTGAGAAAAGCCCCAAAGGTTTCTAATAAGGCCACAAAGGGTCAACTGAAAGTTCAAGGGTGCCACATCAGGACATGTACTAAATGCAGTAAATAAATGTAATTATTTACTGAATTTATATCCTGCCCCAAGGAGCCCAGAGCAGCAAACAGATACACAATGTAAAAACAAGAAGAAAGAAAGAACATTCTAAAAACAATAGCAATTAGAGCAGGCATAGGCAAACTCGGCCCTTCAGATGTTTTGGGACTACAATTCCCATCATCCCTGACCACTGGCCCTGTTAGCTAGGGATCATGGGAGTTGTAGTCCCAAAACATCTGGAGGGCCGAGTTTGCCTGTGCCTGAATTAGAGCATCTAAAAGCAGTTACAGTTAAAAACATTCTGAATGTATCAATGGTAAGGAAACAAAGTTGTGAATGAAATAAGAAGTACGCGATTCATTTATTTCATAAAATTTATATGCCACTTAAGTGCAAAAAAAGAAAACTCTCATGGATCAGTTTCTCAGGAAGCACACAAATAAAGCCTTGCTGTGTGAGTGCATCATTATTTGTGTTCTTACATCTTCCAATAATGTTAATTAAAGGCATCAATTCTCCGCCACCAATCCCACTTGAGCAGAGGGAACTTGATCTTTGATTGGCAAGATCCGCCCGAATTGGCCAAGCCAGTTTCCAAGGAATCTTCCCTAAATTACAGCAGAAGGCGTCCTTCCTGCAGAAGCAATTCTCACTCCCTTGGAGCATTGTGCCATTTTTTATTTACAAGCAAAAGGCCAGGAAAAGCACACATTAACGGCACAGCAGCATTTTGGGCTGCTTCCAGACACGGACAATTTAGCAGCAGCCAGTAATTGCTGTTCTGCTTCAGGCTGTAAGCAAAAATAGCAACTCTGCCGCTTCCAGACTTCTAGAAGCCAAATGACATTCTGGAGCCAACTGGGCAGCCCACCCCCTGCCCTGGTCCCAAATGTTGGAGGGTGCTGGGGAGGAGAGAAAGGATTCTCATTGGGACCATGGCGCAGGAGGGAAAAGATGAAAACAGTCCCTTCTCTACCCATCACTCCACTCCTGATAAGGATACCCTGGAGATAAACAGCTGGATCTCTCATCATCTTTCCCTTTTCTGAAAAACTGCCTCAATGAGGATTTGGCAGGGGGAGTGGGGAGAGCTGAATCCCCTCTCTCTCCAAATCCATTCTCCAAAGCAAGTCCTTACACAAAGCGGGGGATGAAGAAAAACAAAACAAAACAAAACACACAGACCCAATATCATAGCCATATCATAGACCTATTAAGTTCTCCTCACTCTCTGCTTGGCTTTAACGTCTTGCCTGCCCGATGAAACATTCTGGAGAACTAAATAGCTTGCCACACTTTTGTAATGTAGATTTTGGGAGATTTTTCTCATGGGCCAACATGGCTTCTTTTGAGCTACTCCCTACGTTATCCTTCACAGAAATGAGGACTTTCAGCAGCCTGTAGCTCCCCTTGATCAATAGAAACACAGAATAGTACTCTGATCTACTGGCTTTCACCTAATATAGTCAGGCTGCGGGGGACAGGACTAGAGAGTGGGGGGGGGAGTGAGAAAATTCTGACTTGGGGGGGGCAAATTAGGCCCAACAGGAGGCTGGATTTGTGCCAGCTCACCCCCATCTGATTTCATATATGACATTAAGTCTGGGGCAAGTAAAGAAGTGGCCACAAAGGAACAACAACACATCTTAAAGGTTAGAGTGTCAGACTATGAACTGGGAGAAAAGGGCTTGAATCCCCACTCAGTCATGAAGCTCCCTGGGCCAGTCACTCACTTCCAGCCTAATCTACTTCACAGGGTTGCTGTGAGGATGAAACAGGGAACAGAACTACGCACGTCGCCTTGAGCTCCTTGGAAGAGAAAAGTGCTATATAAATGTAGCAAGTAAATAAATAAATAAATAAATAAATTGTGGGAAGCTGATATTCAGGGGATTATTTCTGATGGGAAGGAAGGGGTGGCGTTGTGGCGTGCACACCCTTTTTAAGAACAAATCTGCTGAAATTAAGGAAGCCGTGTTGAAATTTGTGCATCAATGGTATTTGGAAACCTGCAAGACTTCATTATATTAATCATCCCTTTGTTGGAGAGGATGTCAAATTCTTCATATGCTGATCCATCTCTGGAGGGAGTGTCAAAAAGCACAGAAATGTTGGCAGGACATTTTTGCAAGCCTTACTGATCTCCTCCGCAGAGATATTGAAACGGAACCAGGATTAGCTTTGCTCTCTTTATTTAGAGGGTGAAACAGGGATCTCCCTTGTAAGAATCTGGATAAACTCCCTCCTTGTGGAGCCGGGCGTACATTGGAAGGATGCAGGCAGATGGACTACCCACAAAAGGTAAGTTAAGAGTATGGTACTTGGCTTTGGCTGATAAACTTACATAACACAGTAGAGTGATGCAAGGAGGAATTTTAAAAAGATACCTTCAATGCTGATTGATTTATGTTTGTTTATTTTATTAACTGTCATTTGGAGGAACCTAGACCCCTGTAACTCACACAACTTTTTGACTTGGCTATTTACCGTATATTTGCACCATAACACTCACTTTTTTCCTCCAAAAAAGTAAGGGGAAATGTCTGTGCATGTTATGGAGGGAATGCCTACGGGTGGCATGCCTACGGATTTTCCTCCTCTAAAAACTATGTGCGTGTTATGGTCGGGTGCGTGTTATATAGCGAAAAATACGGTAACTTAACATGTTGCTATTATTTTCTGCCTTATACACATCTGTATTTTGCTTTGTATCTGGTGACCAATAAACTACTATTTGTTGTTTGTATTATTTCAATAATAATAATAAAAACTAAAAATAAATATACATATATATAGAGAGAGAGTCTACTTTTGACTACTATTGCTTATCACTCAGAAGGCAGAAACAAAAGCCCAATGACAGACCTGAATTAGTGCAAGTACTTTATCCTGAACAATGGTGGGCGGGTTGTTCTTGGGAGAGATGATTTTCACCAGGACACCATCTATGAAGTCACGGTTTGCTACTAGGACATGAAAGCGATGGCCACAGTTCTTCACACATGTTTCCAGTACCTGTGTGTAGGGAAAAAACATCATTACTGGTGGAGCAAAGAAAGCTGGTGAACACATGCAAGGAAAAAATTCATTGCCATGGACAGTAGCTAATGTCCAGGGGTGTGGGGACACTTTGAGAAAGGAGTAGCCCAGGGTGGTAGTCCAGGGGATTAATCATTTTGCTCACCATGGCCAGTGTTCTGCCATTTTCTAGGGAGCATGGTGAGCCCAGCTCGGGATGGGGGACATCCCCAACTGGGATAAAAACTATGGTTTCTTTGGGCACTATGTTTCAAAGAAGAAGAAGAAGAAGAAGAAGAGTTTGGATTTGATATCCCACTTTATCACTATCCGAGGGAGTCTCAAAGCAGCTAACATTCTCCTTTCCCTTCCTCCCCCACAACACACACTCTTTGAAGTGAGTGGGGCTGAGAGACTTCAGAGAAGTGTGACTAGCCCAAGGTCACCCAGCAGCTGCATGTGGAGGAGCGGAGACGTGAACCTGGTTCCCCAGATTACGAATCTACCGCTCTTAACCACCACACCAAACTGGCTCTTATAGGAGCTCTGTGCAGTAAATGCAGAAGAACAAGCTCGGTCCTGGAGAGGGGAGGTGGGGAACTGCCCCACAATCACACAAGGCTTCTGATTACCTCCAAAGCTCAGTGCTGTGAAGGGAAAAATCCTTACCGCTTTTCTCCAAGTGCACCCACTGCACTTCTAAAATGCTTGGAGCACTGCAGCAACAACTGCCCACCCCACTTCCATGTGTAGATAGTCCCCCGTCCCCCGGGTGAATGGGGAATTGCTCCTGATGTCACTTTGTGTTTTGGAGACACAGAATTCTGGTACCCACAGAATCCTGGTGCCCAACCTGTTTTGGCTGTCCGCCAAAGGCCAGTCAAAATTGTGAAACAAAAAGACATGAGCCCTGGCAATCACAGAAAATATTATTCTTAATTTGAACGTCTCTAGTGGATCAGAGGCACCAGAGCACTTTTATGCCACATGGTGGGGCTTTACTTCTTATACTTCTGGAACTGTGGTTTAGACCTCTTGGGCTTGCCGATCGGAAGGTTGGTGGTTCGAATCTGTGTGATGGTGGTGAGCTCTTGTTGCTCTGTCCTAGCTCCTGCCAACCTAGCAGTTTGAAAGCACACCAGTGAAAGTAGATAAATAGGTACTGCTGCAGTACAAAGGTAAATGGCATTTCCGTGCACTCTGGCTTCCGTCACAGTGTTCCGTTGCACCAGAAGTGGTTTAGTCATGCTGGCCACATGACCCAGAAAGCTGCCTGCAGACAAACGCCGGCTCCCTCAGCCTGAGGCAAGATGAGCGCTGCAACCCCATAACCGCCTTTGACTGGACTTAACTGTCCAGGGGTCCTTTACCTTTTCACTTTTAGTTCTGGAACTGGTCACAAAATTCCCTATCTGCACTGACGAGTAAAATTTGGTTATCCTAATGAAAACTCTAATATACAAGTGGATCTCATATCGATGAACTGCTCCAGTAAGGGAGGCAACTTGAATAAAATATTGTGGGGGCGCAGGTTAAGCCCTGGCCCACATAATCTATCACATGACACAGTGCACACACATCATTTGAATGGGAATGCCCACCAACTTTGTGGGGGCTCAGCCCCCACAAATATTTTATTATGGAGGGGTCAAAGCCCCCAATGGCCCCTAGGAGTTGGCTCCTACGGCTCCAGGAGCCTAATAAAAAGTAGAATAATAATCATCATTTGTGGACCACTGGCCTTAAATCTTCCTCCTTCAATGTGGCTACAGAAGCCTGTTAGTATTTCATGCAGCTCAATGCTGCAGATGAGGTTGTTATAAATCACATGCCTGTCTAAGAAGACTGCCACTTTCTGCACACCTTTTCTTGTTCCAAGTTGGTAAGGGGAAGAGGGGGAGAGAAGATTTGTTTTGGAGGTCTCCCAAACGCCGACCCCTGAATCACACCCACTTGCACACGCTACTCACCGTTAGAGCTAGCATTACTTCCCTGTAGTTTTTGTTTCCATTCAACCTCTTCTTAAGCGCTCGGATGGCATCCTTTGGGCTGATGGGGAAAACACAGGGCCACAGATAAGGGACAGCTACAAGTAACTGCACTTCTCACAGTAAAGGCAATACTGCAGTTCTAATGTTAGCTCATTATTTGAACCCTCAGGATTTTATATATAAATTTTCCCTTGGCTCTTTTTGCTGGCCCACGTAGGACCAGCATGGATAGTTGGCCCCAGTGAATATTTGACGTTTTCTCTCCTTATGGCTTTGATCTATAGGCTACCACTAAAACGAGGATGCATTTTAAGCTGCATTTTAAACTGTATTCTAACTTATATTTTAATCACCTGTTTATTTTGTTTTTTGTTTTGTTTTGTTTTTAATGTTTTTACTGTGTTTATATTTGGTGTTAGCCGCCCTGAGCCTGGTCTTGGCTAGGAAGGGTGGGGTATGAAAAAAAAGTGTATTTATTTATTTAATTTATTTTGTTTTTGTTGTTGTTGTAGCAGCAGAGATGCAAACAATGTTATGAGAAGAAAGGGATTGTTCTGCTGACCCTGGCACCATCAATGTGCTCAGAAGGGGAAGCTCAGAACCATCTGTGACAAGCAGCAGAAGCCGAGCTATGCTTTGTCAATAACTGCTTGGCTTCTCCTTAACATGCAGTCTTTACAATTTCCCTGGAGTGCTCAGGTGAACATATTGTCCCCTCATGTGGGGAAGGGAAAGAGGGGACAACATAAGAAGAGCCTGCTGGATCAGGCCAATGGCCCACCTAGTCCAGCATCCTGTTCTCGCAGTGGTAAACCCACATGCAGAACCCAAGCAGAAGAGCCCTCTGCCCTCCTGCGTCTTCCAGCTAGTAAGATGTACCTGGAATTTATGGGAATCAAACCTTACTAATAAGGCATTCTACAAATGAACTATAACACTGCATGTAAACACCTTCTGGTGAAAAGGAATGCCAGCGCAGTAACACCCAGCTGATTAAAAACAACAAAAACACTACTCACACCAGCACACAGCAAGCAATTCTGCTTTTTGCCCTGTGCTATCCATAGTCACAGACAGACAAAGACAGACATACCCTTCTTCTGTCTCATTGATGATGTCACATATCTCCATGTTAAGTGTCCAGTCTTCACTCTGTAGGGAGCCATCTGTAGCCTTTTCTATTTAAAACAAATCAGAGCAAGCAAAATATTTGTTCACTCTTTTCCAGATTAAAAGCCAAGCTTCAGAAAAAGATTTGCGCCAGGCTGGTCAATGGCCACACGCCCACGGCCATGTAAGAACTACCTCCAGGTAACCAGAAGAAGGAAGTTCTAATTCTCCTCTGAAGTGCTGTCAGGCCAATGGTGTGCCACAGTTTATTTCTTTTCTAGAGCACCACTCATGTACATCTTGTTTTACAAAGAATGAGGGAACAGTTAGGGTTCACATTTGTCACATTTATTCACAGTTAGGGGGAACAGTTAGGGTTCTGCTCCACTCTGCTCCACAGTTTACAATCCAGAAACTGGGACAAGGGAGTCAACAAAGGAAGGACATGGAAATCGAGGTGGGGCAAAAAGGTGCATGATTATTACAATTTTGCATGCCTAGTGTGCTTCGAGAATGTCAGCATTTTCGGGTGACAGTTGATCACATACCAGCAGATTCAGGTTGCACAATGAAAGTTGATGTACTGCCCTTGTGCAACAAGTCTACTTCCTTCCCCAAATTGGAACATTTTGCAATAAGGGAAGTGATGGGAAAATGGACTGGATAATGCACTGATGCCGTGTTCTATAACCTCTCCACAATCAAACAGGAATTAAGGCCAATAATAATAATAAGAAGAAGAACCCATGTCTTCAAACCTGCCAGCAAACTAGGTACCAAGCAGGGTATAGCTCAACAAACAGGCCATCTAAAAGTCAACTTGGATATGGTAAGCTACAAATGTTAAGTGCAACAAAATGTTGCCAGGCACGGTGCTCCTGCTCAGGGTTCCAGCCAGCCAACCATAACTTCTTAAAGGAAACTCCATTATACACACACACTTTCCTTTTTCTTCCAATTGTCTGTAGCCACTAAGTATGCTCAGTCATCTTTGGGCAATTCTGAATTTTTAAAAACCATGTCTTCAAAGACCCACACCCCCCCCGCAGAAAAACCCCAGTAAAATAGAGACACTGATTTGCCCAGTGAAAATAATTGGAAAACAGGGAGTCAGAGCATGAGTCCAACTAGCTTAGTGCTGTTTATTCTGACTGGCAGCAGACTGTCTGGCACAGAAAGAAGAAGAAGAGAAGATGAAGAGTTTGGATTTGATATCCTGCTTTATCACTACCCGAAGGAGTCTCAAAGTGGCTAACATTCTCCTTTCCCTTCCTCCCCCACAACAAACACTCTGTGAGGTGAGTGGGGCTGAGAGACTTCAGAGAAGTGTGACTGGCCCAAGGTCACCCAGCAGCTGCATGTGGAGGAGCGGAGACGCGAACCCAGTTCCCCAGATTACGAATCTACTGCTCTTAACAACTACACCACACTGGCTTTTTCCATCACTTGGTACCTTGTGGAGGGTAAGGTTATGAATGGCTACCTCCACTGTCTAAGGCAGAATGCCTCGGTATGGCTGTGGCTGGGAATCACAAGTGTTGTTGCACCCGGATCTCTCAGTGTGATCTTCACCTAGACATCCTGTTGGCCGCGGTAAGAGAATCCTGGACAATGGCAGGCCTTTGGCCTGATCCAGCAGGGCTGCTCATCTAGCCCTTTGAGCAGAAGGTGCAATGGATCTGACGCAGGCCATTCTGCACACAGAACAGGTCTCTTCCATTGAGCCATGTGCCTTCTCCATGATTTCTGCAGTTATGACTTACTTTGATAGAAATAAACTCATTCAAATATGGCAGCTGCTTGGCTGGAATCTGTTGACAGTCCTCAAATTTTAAGAGGATGGGTAGGTATTACACACACACACACACACACACACACCTAAAACATCCACCTTACTCAACTATGTGGCCTGAAAAATCCAAAGAACGCAATCAGTTTTACAAATTAATTCCAGCTTTAAACACATCGTATTAACTGGAGATACAACATACACAATACTGAGCAGCCAGCTTCCTTTCAAATGTATGCACCCCAAAGCCACCCAATCCATTATTTGACAAAGATTTAATTTGCAATTCACGAGGATTTCCTCTGTAGCATAATCCATTATCACGAACTGAAAGCTGATCTGAAAAAAGCTTAAACAACTTAAAGCACTTTAAGATCAAGGCACATTTTGGGTACGCTTATAATAGCAGCCTACAAGAATATTAGGAAGCCAAGTTTTGAGCATAAATCGTGTCCCAAACGTAATGTCACTTAAGTGCTTTACAACAGAAAAACATTGCCTTATTCACTGCAGAAATGCAAGCTAATCTCCGTGTAGAAGATCAGGCAACCCTGGTTCTGTAAATTATACAGCAACAATGAAAATTCCAGCTTCCCGATCGGAAATATAAAAAGCACTTTACTGTGGTAGCTCTACCATAGGGAGTGACAGGATATTAATGTAACATGGGGTGAGGAACCTCTGGCCCACAGACCTAATCCACACCACCATTGGTCCCATCAGGCTGTTTTGGGCAAGGTACATCCATCCACCTGTTCTACTTCTGATGTAATATCCCTGACCAGCGGCCATCCTGGCTAGAGCTGATGGGATTTGGAGTCCCTTTACATCTGGAAGGGCAGGTTTCACAACCTTCCTTTATTTCCAGAACAGCTGAAGAAGAATCTTTGCCTTAACGTAACCCCACATATTTTAAGAGCTGCTGAGGACGACTTACGACTGCTCTTACCAGCTAAATCCCAGCAAACAGTTACCAAGGAGAGGGGTTTCTCAGTGGTGGTATCATCATTGTAGGGCGGGATCCCACACAAATGAGGCCCAACTGGCCAACTCCCTCTTTTTCAGGAATTTTATCAGATCTTTTTTGTTCAAAAATCTTGCAAGAGCAGAATTTTGTCACCACTGATGAGAACTTGCCAGAGGCTGTTGTGTTAAGTGATTTTCTATTAAGTATTTTAATTGTTAACTGATCCTCATAGAATTTTTTATTGCTTTCTGTTAGACACTGCAAAAACCTGCGAGTGGGAAGGCATTTCAGAAACAAAAATAAATGAGTGTCATATGTCTCAGCTCTTCCTAAACACTTCTCTAAAAGGGTTTTGCAGGCCTCACATTTAACTAAAGTCGTGTACATCCAATTAAATTTTCCTGTGAACCAGTGCCATTTCCTGGCAGAGAAACTACAATGCTGATGCATTTGCAGCCCTGAATATATATTTTTCAAATTATGGGAGGCCACAGGAGTTTGACTGCATAGACCAAAGCTGAGACCAAGGCAATATGCTCAAATGAAACTATTCTCTGTGTTTTGCAGCATCAAAAGAGCCACCAATGAATGCAACAGCCAAATAATTGTGCCTCACACCCTCAGGCAGGAAGAACCATGGAAACATCAGACAAGCAAAGCACTGTGAAGCCAGACAGACTTCAGCTGAGGTTTTGCTCCAGAAAAACACCATTGGCAATTATAAAACAGGCGGCAACTTTGCTTCTTCTAAGGAGCCGCCTGCTTAACTGCCATCATGCAGCCCCAGAATTAGGCCGAATTTTTTAACATACAATCCCTTCTTTTTGAGGCCATTAGCATCTTTGCCACTGGAGACAAACATCCAATTTTATTATGTACAACTCACTCGAAACCCCACTATCAAAATGTCTCATAATAAATATAAGGGGCACCCACTGGCTGCTTGCAGCAAATGGGGAGCAAAAAAAGGTGGAGTATAGTTAATATATAAAACATTTAAAGTCTTAGCAACAGTAGGATCAAGCATTTTGCCCCACCCAAGTTGCAAGACATAGCGATTCGAGGGTTGAGCCTGAACAGGTTCAAATTCCTCTTCATTGGATGCACTTGGCAACAAAACGGGTCAACGAAACTGCTCTTTGGTACTTGGGTATTGTTAAAAAATACAGAACCATGTCTTCCTTGGCCTTTTGTGCTGGGGGTAAGCTGGAGGAACAGAACCTAGCAATGATGTCTCCCACTACCCCCTTCCTTGAACCACCTGTATTTCCACCACTGGGACAAATTTTAACAATTTGACAAACAAGGACAATGGCTTCACTGAATTAATATACGACCAATGCAGAAATAAAGATAAACTTGGAAATATTGAATGGATGAATGAATGAATGAATGAACACAACACTTTGTATCTATGTCTACAATAAAAGCAACAAGTAACTGCACCATCAAGAAGAACTGAAGATTTTATTCAACAACAAAAAACATTTACAGGCAAAAGTTTATTATCTGAACTTCACAAAACAATGATTTTGCTTCATCTCCTACAAAGAAAAGGCATGTCTGGAGTACACACACTTCCTTGGAAAAATATTTTGGGCTGAACAATCTTTTACCGACACATCTTGGAAAAGATATAACAAATGGGACAATCCTTTATTTACGTTATGCTATTGGACTGATGAACATTTTATTCTTAGGACATAAATCAGAATGTATGCTCTGTTTTTCTTACTGCTTTTGTTTGATGAATATGTGCAAAACTGAAACAGAAATAAGAGTGGCATTCAACTCATTTTTACTCAGAGGAGAGCTATCAAAATTAAAGAGCAGTTAGGTTTGTTAATGTCAGCAGGACTACTCTGAGTAAAAATTAGCTGAATACCACATGAAGCATTTAAAAAACAAAGCCTGGTGATTTGGTTGGAATTGCTGCTTACTGATGAAATAGGAATTATCAACCACCACCATATAGCAGTGGTTTTCAATCTAAGTTCCCAGAAACTCTGGGGTTCCTTGAAATCTCAAGGGCAAAAACATTAAGGGCACACAAGCTTCTCTAGAAGATGACTTACACAACCACAATTGCAAAATTCTACTCTATCGCATTATCAACAGCAAGCAGCTGCAAGAAACTGTTGGGTGTGCTCCCATAGGTTAATGGAGAGAACCATCAAGTCTGCCCACTGAAAAGAGAATGTACCCAAGAACATGCCCAGGGAGTCCTTGGAAGATAATAGATGTGGAAAGTATTTCCTGAAGACAGAAAGTTTGAAGAAGAAAAAAAAGCTGCCTAGAGAACTACTTCTCAACTTTTATCTACGCTTAGAACTGTGCAGAGATTTTCAGTTTTCCCCAAGCTGCCCTTGGGACTTTCAACTGAGCACAGAACACCCCACAACTTTTAACAGTACTTGTACTGTAACAAAAACTCCTCAAAGCCATGGGAACGTCTCAGTTTAAATAGATGGATGCTCAGAGCTCCTTGTTCAAGGTCACAAGAAAGGTCAGCACCAGAGCCAGGATGGAAACTGAAATTCCTGACATTGAACAGCATGCTCACTTAAGTCCTTGCCCCCGCTGGACAGCAATTTCCCACAAAACAAAGTGTAGCAGTTTACCAGAGGCGAGTCTAAGACTATTTGGACCCCAATGACAAAATGACTGTTCCTTTATTAGGCTGCCACATATGGAATAGTATCTGCTATTTGTTTCCCAAGCAACTGAGGGGGCTACATTGCTCCATGGACAATCAGCTCCCCACAACAAAACCTAGCAGTCGGAGAAGAGGCACAGTGCAGGAACAGGGCCGCCAATAATCACATTATTGCACAATAATGCTTTAGGCCAAGCATTGCCATTACAACCAGAACACAAAAGTGGCCAGTATCCTATTCTCATGGTACGGAGGGGAGAAGTTCCCACAAGACTCAGGCCTCATCTCTGGGCCCACCTGGATGCTGTTGGTGAAGCCCAATCGTGTTCACTTTCCTTGAGCCATATCATCTGCTTTGAACACAGAATATCTCAGATTCAGTCACTGGTATCTCCAGGAAGGGCTAAGAATGTCTCTGATGAAACCCTGGAAAGGCACAGTAGTCACTGCGCTAAATAGGCTGGTGGTCTGACTTGCTGTAAGGTGGCTTCCTTTGTTTGTATATTCCTCAGACCTGCTCTTGTCTCCCAACTTCCTCCACCTCATTTCCCCCCCCCCTTGGTTATGAGAGTCAAACAGTCCTCTCTCACACCCCCAGTCCAATAGGATGGTTCAAGGATGATGAGGGATCAGTCTGAACATGGAGGTTCTACGACGGGTAAAAGCCACTGGCAGGCAATATTATCCACCATTTGCTAAATTATTTGGTTCTTTAAAGTCATCTTTAAATTGTCAACCTCAAACCACCACCCCCATCCTATGGCAACCAGTTCTGTAAGGTAAAAGTCTGCATTATGAAAACAATGCTTTCCTTTTTAAAAAAATCAACCGCATATTGCAAATCAATGTCACCAGTCAGGTTCTTGTGTTTTGAAACAAGGCTTCTTTATTGCAATCATAGTTCTATACTTTCACTTAGTCATCGCTTTTCAAAGCCAAGAAAACCTCAGCCTCTCCTCAAGTGTGTCTCAGTCAGGAAGTCATTCTTAACTTCTCTGATCATTTTAGACATGCTTTTTGGTGTAGTTCCTAAGAGATCTTATTTGAGATGATTAGGTGATAAAAACTACACACACACACACCTGAAATTCCTCCATGTCAGGTTGACCTATCTGACTCCACTCCATCTTTCCTCCCAGTTTCATTCTTTGACTCACCCCACCTCAGAGCACCCTAGGCTTCCTCAGTTCCTCTTTTGCTCCCCAATATCTTCCAACATTTCACAGCTAAAAATAGGGCCTTGCACATAACATCCCAGCTTAAGGTTTTTAACTGCCTGAGGCAAAGGATGAGGTGGTTCCCCTGTCCTAGTTCTGCATACAGAAACCACTCAGACTGGCAATTGAATCTTATTTTAATGCTGGTGACAGAACAGAGCCTTTTAGCAAAATGGAGAGCAGTAGGCTTGCTTTAAAGGAGTAGTTAAAAAACAAACCCTATGGAACTCCCATTGACTTGTGCCTTGCCCCATGTGTATAACCATTTACGCAATCAATGAAGAACTTTGTGTTTAATGCAACCTTTAACTGAGATCCTAATTGGGTTTTACAGAACAGCTTCTTAAAGTATGCTGTATGTTTGGTCATGTAAACGGCTAATAAAAATACAAAAATATATACAGTGGTACCTCGGGTTAAGAACTTAATTCATTCTGGAGGTCTGTTCTTAACCAGAAACTGTTCTTAACCTGAGGTACCACTTTAGCTAATGGGGGCTCCCACTGCCCCTGCGCTGCCGCTGTGCAATTTCTGTTCTCATCCTGAAGCAAAGTTCTTAACCCAAGGTTAGCAGAGTCCGTAACCTGAAGCGTCTGTAACCTGAAGCTTCTGTAACTTGAGGTACCACTGTATTTGGCTTTCAGGAGTATTTGTGAATGAAACAAGCTCTGCCATTCTCCAGCAATCGTCTCTACTGTATACAGGGCAGGATTCTTGTACACACAGTTCTAACTTCCCGACCTCACTGCCACTCTTCCAACCCCAAACATTTGCTGCCTGAATTGGGTGTGTTTTCTTTTTAAGGATCGGGTGTGTTTGCTCTTTAAGTTGCAGATATACTAGAAAAGCAGATATACTAGAAAAACAAAAGTCCTCCTGTAACCTGTTATCAACAGTTCAAACAAATGTCAGCGGTTTCAAGGTATGTAATGACAGGTTGTGTACAGTACGGCACACTTTACTGTGCACGCACATAAATTTATGTTCATGAAGACAAGATGCATCTTCCCATCAACTTTTATAGACCAGGGAAGAGGGCTGGATCATGAATAATAGAGAGTCAGTGTGGCAGCATAGTGTTGAACCAGGAAATCAGGGCCTACCTCACAGGATTGTTGTGAGAATAAGATGTGGAAGGAGAGAACCATGTAAATAACAAATAAAACATAATAACAACTCCAGACAACCAGGGTTTTAACTAGCTATAAGATGTTTAAGTCTTAGTTTTCAACGGTACTTTGTTGATATGATTAGGTCTGCTGTGGCGGGTAGTTTTACAGTTTCATTTTTTGGGAATCGCATGATGATTTCCTAAGAGGCATATTGCTGTTATTTATTATTTAAATACTGTACAGAAGCTGCATTAAAAGGGTACTTGGCCTAAAAGATGGCATATAAATATTTCAAACAAAACTAACAACCTCAGGCTAATAACATTTTGGCAAGGCATCCTCAAAATGCAAACACAGGGAGAAAATAAGCACAGTGATGGGACACAGGCCAGAAAATAGGGACAGCTAGAAGATACAGTATGGCCTGGCCTATATTCATTAGAACCCACACAGCAACCCATATATTGTAGTTCTAACAATATCAATCTATTCATCTCAAATCCACAGTCAAAAGGTCAAAACGGGGCCAATGCTTTACCAGGAGGAAAAGAAGCAGGGATGACAGATAGTTTTATTTGCTCATTCAATGGTCCTTAATGCACCTTTTAGGACATGCTGTCATCACAGAGTGACTCACAAGGCTCCTAGTATGCATTAAAATGTCTGTACTATTATTTTTTGCTTAAAATATTGCATGTCACTTTTGAGCTGCTGCAGCAAAAAAAGAGACTGCTGAATTTTATTTAAAAAATCACCAATAATACAATTACCCTCCGCAAAGAGGGCAATAATAAGAATAATAATAATATTTATGGGACACACAGAGAGAGAGCCATCAGGGACCAACTTAGCAGACTGACAGGCTGGGAAGGAGAACAGAGGCAATGATTCACCAAGGGCAGCAATTAAAATAAAATATATACAAGGACGCTGGAGAGGAAAGACTTTCACCTCCCAGCTCCATCCCTGGTTCACGGTTGGCCAATGACGCCAAGCAGGCCCGGGGCTCCCTTCGTGGGTCAAGAGGGGGCCAGGACGGGGAGGGCCGGGAAGCCGGTTCAGGTGCATCTTCAGGTGCAGTTCTCCTGCCCTCCCAGGAGGGAGAAGCTGCGTCTGCCCAAATTCCCCCCTGGCCCGCTGACAGGGGCCTTTGCGGCTTCTCTCCCCCTCCCGTCTCCCCGTCCCCGTCGCCTCAGGCCTGCCCCCCTGCCCCGCTCCCCTCGGCCGCCCCCTCTCTTACCGAGGCTCTGCCCCACCGGGGTGCTGAAAGGGTTGCCCAACAGAAACTCCATCTTGGGATGACAACAAACCCGACCGGCCTCCCCGCCCGCTCCACCTCTCGGAGCCTCCTCTCCTCATCCCGCCCCCCCGCCCAAACCTCCTCAGCCCCGCCTCCGGCTCGTGACTGACAGGCCTCGCCGGCCAAGCAGAACCTCCGCTTCCCCACAGCAGAGCCCGCCCCGCGATGTCGTCGCCCGGGCTCCGATCCCGAAGGCCGAGCGCTCATTAGCGAGCGAGAGCGCCAATCACTTGTCAGGCCAGGCTGCCCGGCCTCGATGCTGTCGGGCGTCGGGGAAGCAGGAGGAGGGAAAGGGCGAGGGGTGGGAGCGAGGGGAGGGGTAAGTCCCGCTTCCGGAGACAGCCTATTGGACAAAGCTTTCTCCAAAAAAAATTAATAAACCTTGCGGCCTATTGGATAACCTTCGCCGAAGGCTCGGATCGAGTAGCCAATCCTGATGGGGGAATGGCTGTTTATGCGCCCTGTCATTGGTTGGGCGAGTTGGTTCGGGTTGGTTCCTTCTCTCTCGCGCCCCCACACACAAACACGCGAACGTGAGTCGAGGTTGCTTGCCGCTGTCTCTGGCCGACCTGCGTCACACGTGACGACGGAAGCCCGGTGGGCCGGCGCGAGAAGCGCGACCTGCCCTTAGCAACGGCCGCGGCATCCCTAGCAACGGGGCCTAACCCGAGCTTTTAACCTTCGGGGAGGCTGGAGGAAGGCGGCTGTGGGTTCAGTGTGAGCTGGTCAAGTGACGCGCTGGTAACCTGCTGAGCAATCCGGGGCTGGGTGGGGTTTCGGTGCCTCTGGAAGTGGGAGTTGGCATGGGATGTTCTGGGATAGGATGTGTAGATATGACACGTGTTGTCGTTGTTTGCTGTCCTACACCTTTCATATTTGTATGACAGGCAGAAGTTCTATCGGTGTAGCTGCAAGAATGGCAGGTCGAAGTTCCACTTTGGATTCAACCTCTGTGTGAGCCAAGCCAGCATCTTGCTTCCAACAGCGCCCAGCTGGGGGGGAAGCAGAGCTATTCCAGCTCCAGACTGACAGGTGGGAGGGTGTCTGAAGTGGACACCCTCCCTTGGTAGGTCCTCAGTAGGGCAGGACTGTGGCAGCGCGTCTGCCTTGCAAGCAGAAGGGCCCACATTCAGTCCCCGATGGCATCTCCAGGTAGCCTTGCCGCCTTTGTTCTGGCAAAATATGGGTCGGGGTGATTTTATTTTATTTCAATCTGATGCTGATGTGACTTCAAAGCAATCTGTTACGCTCTATTGCAGCCTCACAGGATTGCCCCTCTGGAATTTGTCACAAGCACATGCAGATACACATGAATTTGTAGATCTCTCTGTGCTTGGCCCCCCCAGAGCTCAAATACTTGATCTGTCACACACCCTTTCAAACACATGCATTTGGAGAGGATCCCTAACTTGGCAGAGAGAAAGGGAGAAGACCTGAAATACAGGACAAAGAACGGTATCAATACAGGACGTAGCATTTTACACTGAAATACGGGACAATCCTGTATTATACAGGACAGGTGGCAACCCCAGCTAGGTAAGGCTGGGAGAGACTCCTGCCTGAAATTCTGAAGAGCCGCTGCCAGTCAGTGTACTGAGCTAGATGGACCTCTCCTCCACGGGAGATTTTAAACCAGAGTTTGGCTGGCCATCTGCCATAGATTCTTTAGCTGAGATTCCTGCATTGTGGTGGGTTGGACTTGACCTTTGGGGTCCCTTCCAACTCTACAATTCTTTCATTCTATGACTCAATGTAAGGCAGCCAACTGTGGTCCTCCTCCTCCAAAACTGTGTACAGTGGTGCCTTGCAAGATGAAATTAATCCGTTCCGCGAGTCTCTTCGTCTTGCGGTTTTTTCGTCTTGCGAAGCACGGCTATTAGCGGCTTAGCGGCTATTAACGGCTTAGCGGCTTAGTGGCTATTAACGGCTTAGCGGCTTTAAGAAAAAGGAAACAAACTCGCAAGAACTCGCAAGACGTTTTGTCTTGCGAAGCAAGCCCATAGGGAAATTCGTCTTGCGGAACGACTCAAAAAATTGAAAACTCTTTCGTCTTGCGTGTTTTTCGTCTTGCGAGGCATTCGTCTTGCGGGGCACCACTGTACAGTTCTGGTTGCCTCAGCTCAACAAGGATATTGTTGAGCCCTAGGAAAGGTTCAGAAAAGGCCCACCAAAATGATCAAGGGGATGGAGAAACTCCCTAATGAGGAAATGTTGCAGTCCTTGGGACTTCTTAGTTCAGAGAAAAGGTGAGTAAGACAGTAGTTTATTATGCATGGCATGGAGAAAGTAGATGGAAGAAAGTTTTTCTGCCTCTCTCCTGACCCTAGAACTCATGGATATCCAATGAAGCTCAATGTTGGAAGATTCAGGACAGGAAAGAGAACGTGCTTCTTCATGCAATGCATAGTTAAACTATGGAATTCGCTCCCGCTGGAGGCAGTGAAGGCCAACAACCTAGATGACTTTAAAGGACAAATTCATGAAGGAGAAGGCTATCAATGGTTACAAGCCACAATGCCTATTCTCTGCCTCCACGGTTGGAGGCAATAATGTATTTGAATAGCAGTTGCTTGGGACAACAGGACAAGAGAATGCTATTGTGCTCAATTCTTTCTCCTGGTTTCCCAGAGGCATCAGATTGGCCACTGTGAGAACAGGATGTTGGACTAGATGGGCCATTGGCCTGATCCAGCAAGCTCTTCCTAGGTTCTTGCTGCTGCCACCACTGCTCGTTAACTTGCTGTCACCCTTTGGGCTCAACCCGCACCACCACCCAAAGCGAAAGAGCAAAGTGTGCAGAGGCTGCTAGTCGTCCTTGCTCTTGTCACCATTCATACACTTTGAAAGGGAATCAGCATTGACTGCAAAGAGCTGGAGCAGCAGGGACGGGGTCAGCTCGCCCACTGAATTGGCACTAGGATGCCAACTCCTGACAGAAGCTGTGAAGTTCATAGGGCGGGTTTGGAAGCAATAGCCTTCCTTCATTGCTTGTCCGCAGTGCCTTATTTTTAGTGGTAGAGTGCTGCTGAATATGGAGGTTCTGTTCACTTGCCATTACTGGCAGCCATGTCCTCCACGATTTATCCCTTTCTTCACACAAAGCTGCCTGTACCATCTCCATATATAAGAAGAATGAGGCACCAGCTGGGAATATGCGTGGATAGTTTGGTGGACTGTATGTTGGTGTGGTAGGTGGGCATTATGTGGACGGTGTGGGCAGCTCCCAGAAGCTCCTACTGTGTGAATGAGTCATTATGTGTCATTCTATTTCAGTGTCTGCGACAGGCCAGGGCAATCCATTTGAGTTCTAATCTTGGGGGGCACGTCTTCTGCTCAAGATGAGTCGACTGTATGATAGCATAGAGCCCAATGTAATCGATGACGAGATGCTGCAGAAGGCCGTCGAGGAGCAAGGACCTCAAGAAGAAGCAGGCCTCCTGGCCAAAAAAGAGGGCATCAATTTCAAAGATGTCTTGGCGCTGCAGCTTGATTTTAGAAGTAAGGATCAGAATACAAAACAGGGACTTAAAAAAAAGAAAAAGATCAAGGCTCTTTTACTACAAAGTGCTTACAACATGGAGATTTGCCATGTGGACAGTTAGTGGTTGAACATCTGCTTTTAGGCAGGATTGTGAAGATACTTGAACTAATCTCTGCTCCTCCATCTTCATCACCCTCTGCCATCTATCAGTCTCCTGCTCTCCCTTGGCTCTCCCTTTTCTCTGCTCCTCCCACTTATGCCAAGGGATGGACAAATCCCATGAATTCCAGTATCTCAGATTTCCTATCTTAAGTTTAGGTTGCCCCATTTCCACATCAGGTAGTATGGTGCAGAGCTTTTTAAAAATAAAGTCTGCACAAAGCATTGTTGCTGTGTGCATTTCTCCTCATATATAATGCATTTTTGGTACACAGTTTCCCCTAATGTAATGCATTTTTGTGGGCACCCTTTTCTAATTTACACTTTTTTGGTATGTATTTTTTTGTTTGAGACCTGCATTGCAAAACTGGGAGAAGTGCAAGTTTCATAGGATAGGCAGATTTCGGTTCACATATTGGTTTGGGAAGTGTGAATTAAGTAAAAGGTAAAGGTACCCCTGCCCGTACGGGCCAGTCTTGACAGACTCTAGGGTTGTGCGCCCATCTCACTCTATAGGCCGGGAGCCAGCGCTGTCCGGAGACACTTCCGGGTCACGTGGCCAGCGTGACAAAGCTGCATCTGGCGAGCCAGCAGCAGCGCAGCACACGGAAACGCCGTTTACCTTCCGCTAGTAAGCGGTCTCCTATTTATCTACTTGCACCCGGGGGTGCTTTCGAACTGCTAGGTTGGCAGGCGCTGGACCGAGCTGCAGGAGCGCACCCCGCCGCGGGGATTCGAACCGCTGACCTTTCGATCGGCAAGCCCTAGGCGCTGAGGCTTTTACCCACAGCGCCAACCCCGCGTCGCCGCAGGTGTTGGGTGGTACATTTAAACTGTGGCGGGGGAACCTCCTGACGCTTTTGGGTCCATGGGCCAGACCCAACTGCCAGGCCTTCCTCCAGCCACCAACGTCTCTCCAGTATCCCAAACCACTTCCGTCGCTGTCTAACATCTCAACTGCTGCCCCCTCTTTCTCCACATGCTGCTGCCTCCTCTCATTTCTTTCCCCTCTTTCTCGGTGCTGCATGTGAAAGTGGTGGACTGAGGGTACGTTGGCCGTGGAACGCTGTTTTGCAGTTTCAGGGCTCGTGGCTTCTTCCAGAGTCTTCCTTTTTTCCAAAGGGATTTGTGGAACACTCCAGCTGGGTGACCCTCTGCTGCTCTTGCGGGTTTTTAGGAAGCCGTTTTTGGTGCTCGCAGATAACTCTGGAGCTGCCTGGAGCACCGCAGGCTGCCGGTAAAGTGCTCTGCTTTTTAAGCGTTGCTATGAAGAACCCCCTGCTCACACTTGAAGAAGTGGGCGTGTTTAGTCGCTGAAAAGGTTTTCTAAAGTAAATAATCGACTCCCAGGGAAAGGAGGGCCTCCGCACAGACCCGCTGAGGAGTGGACAATGGCAGAATCAATAGAACATAGAGTTGGAAATAGACCACAAGGGCCATCGAGTCCAACCCCCTGCCAAGCAGGAAAACACCATCAGAGCACTCCTGACATATGGTTGTCAAGCCTCTGCTTAAAGACCTCCAAAGAAGGAGACTCCACCACACTCCTTGGCAGCAAATTCCACTGTCGAACAGCTCTTACTGTCAGGAAGTTTCTTCCTAATGTTTAGGTGGAATCTTCTTTCTTGTGAGTTTGGATCCATTGCTCCGTGTCGCGCTTCTCTGTGAGCAGCAGAAAACAACCTTTCTCCCTCCTCTATGGACATCCTTTTATATATATTGAACATGGCTATCATATCACCCCTTAACGCTCTCTTCTCCAGGCTAAACATGCCAGCTCCCTTAGCCGTTCCTCATAAGGCCATCGTTTCCAGGCCTTTGACCATTTTGGTTGCCCTCCTCTGGACACGTTCCGTTTGTCAGTGTCCTTCTTGAACTGTTGGTGCGCAGAACTGGACACAGTTCCAGGTGGAGGTCAGACCAGAGCAAGAATACAGTGGCACTATTACTTCCCTTGATCTAGATGCTATACTCCTATTGATGCAGCCAGAATTGCATTGGCTTTTTTAGGCTGCCGCGTCACACCTGTTTGGCTCATGTCAAGTTTGTGGTCAACCAAAGAAACTCCTAGATCTTTTCGGGACATATGACCCTTTGGGTCCG